TACTTCTACGACTACTTCTTCTACTACTACTACTACTACTACTACTACTACTACTACTACTACTACTACTACTACTACTACTACTACTACTACTACTACTACTACTACTACTACATCCTATGGTATTGCTTCAAAATTTCAACGTTGAACTTTGGATGGAAACAATTTTCGCAATTATCATCGGTAAGGTAAGAAAGTAAGCAAATTGAACCGATGAGATTAGTTAATTTTGTTGTCATTTTCTTCACTCTTCTGGATGCGAAAGGGAAGGATGGACATATTAAGTAGTGAAAAGAATTGCTTTACTTTCCTACTAACTCACTTAATTATGAATGAAAATATTTAAAGGCCAATTATCAGCTGCATATACATAACTATTAATTGCATCTTTCCTTCTTCGCCTTTTGTTCATCGTCACATTTTGCTTTTCAATTTGTCTGTCACTTGCTTCCATATAAATATCTACCTTTAAGTGTTTAGTTCCGCTTTCGACTTTCAACTTTTTTTATTAATTTGATGAAGAGGGGATCGCCTCTTACATGTCTCTGTATGATTTATTCAATTCACATACATCCATACCGTGTAATCTTTCACATTTAACCAATTCTATCTGCTAAGCGGAAAAGTTATCAGATCCGTGTGATTAATACTGACTTTTTTTATCTCTCTTGATATTTCGCAAAGTTTGATGATATTTGCCATATATTGGTCGAGTTATATACCTAAGTAAAGGCATTGCTGCTTTGAAAGGAAACTTTTAGTCCGAATCAGTAATTGTGCTCAATACGATGAGGATGAGAAGTGATTTATTTAGTTAATAACTATTGGATGGAAATAATTAAGCTGTTTCGTTATGCTTGCGAAACTTTTATCGGCTTACAACATCTGTCGCAAATAATCTACCTTATCAGAATTATTCATCGCTTTTGAGATTATGATGTTTGCTGTTGTTATAGGGAAGAAGGAATGGAAGTAAGTGCTCTATTGGTCATTTATCGAATTTCTAATCCTTCTTCTTCAAGGGATGTGTGGATTTAATTTTTTTTAATGTAAAATGATGAAGGAGAGGATTTTGTGACTTTTGATTGAATTGAGCTCATCGTACTATTTAATTTAATTGCATGAATCGCTGTCATTGGTTTGTTTCAGAAGAAGGGTGCACGGTTCATTCATTTATCCTTCATTTCCCTCTTGATTTTAAACATTTAAACTGATTCAACTCTGAAATTGAGAAGCAATTCAGTAATCATGATGATTATTAAGGAATTAGCACACTAAATTAAAACCGATTATTACTTGAAAAGGTAGAAATAGTATGCAACCGGTTGCTAACTCATGGATATTTAATTCCCTAAAGGAAGCCTTTTTTTGCATATTGATTGTTAGATGAAATAAAACTTGAAGTAAGTGAAAATTGAGTTAGTGATCGCTTGTAGCATGTTGTCGTTACTCGGTGATCTGCTTAGAGTTCGACTCAATTTTGATTAATCGGGGATATATCCGCTCTTAGGATATTTGCTCCTTCGTGCTTCCTTTATAAATATCACCTTTTCATGCTTATAATCATGTTAAAGGTAGCGCAAATGTATCAAATTTTCATTGGTCACTTTTCTACGTGTTGCACAAACAATCAATAATATTTGAAGGGAATTAAATCATACAGAAAGAAATTCATATAAAACTTTCAAAGATTTTGATAAACTATTTTTTCCAAATTTATTATGTTTGAAAGATTTGCTTATTTCTGACCATTTATTTGCTAAGTGATGCTCATCTAGTGATATTAAATGACCTCAAGTTACAAATGATTAATTTATTATTTATAGTAAATAAGCAAGGTTGGGGATTCATTCTTCCTCTTAATAATAATTGCATGCAAAGTACATTTTGAGCTTTTTGACCATCGGTATTAGTTCGTCTCTCCATGAATAAATTACAGAAATATTTTTGATGCGATGGTAATGGGATGAAAGTGAAGCTATGAAATGATTTTAGTAGTATGATGGTTGGATGATGATAATGATGGCGCTGATATTGGATGCTAATAATATTAATGTCAACAACAGTTAAGTATTAAGTATGTGATGGATGGATGGCGATAATTAGAACAATGATAATTGCAGATATAGCAATATAATTAATAATCAACAGTATTATTGGGAAGGGAAAAGGAAATAGATATATTTTAATTTGATACTGGAATGGAATGGACTGAATTGGTTTTAGAGATATTAATAATTTGAATACATTTCGTGCTTCTTTCATATGATTTCATAGCATGCAATGTGCAAATTTGATTACTTATCTCAGTGGACAAAGCAGTGATCAAAAATAATAATCCTTCTTCATTGCCAGCAAATGCTCTGAGGATGGAACATCTTCGGCACGCAATAGTGCCCCCTCTATTTATAACTTTTATTAAATTTATTACTTTTCAAGCTGGCTATTTTCGATTTGCTTAATTGCCACTTCGGCTTCCTTCCTTTTTTCTTTTCATATTCTTTTAATAGTTGGACAATTGTTATTACTTACTATTAGTATTTCGATTATTATTATTTTGCTACTACTACTACTACTACTACTACTACTACAGCTACTACTACTACAACAACAACAACTATTACTACTACTGCTGCTATTACTACTACTAATACTACTACTGCTACTACTACTACTACTACTACTATTACCATTATTAATAATATTACTTGAGTGATGACCGATTTCTACCTTACTGCTTATCATATGTCACCAGCAACAAATGAGTGAGGAGCAAGAGAACAGTTTTTATCCAATTAGGATTAGAAAATTGCAAAAAATGTGTTTAGGAATGAAAGAAGACAGTTTTACCGGTGTCAAAAAGCAAAAGTAAAGAATGCGTGTGATATCCGTGAAATTCCGCTTCTTCAATCTACTTGTTTTAGTTCTTCACAATGAAACTGGTAATACCGATCATACGATCGATTCGCTATCACCGATAGTTTTTGACCGATAAGCCGTTACGCCATCATTCCAGCATTGTCATTTTCCACAAATGTTATGCAATTCACGACTGCATGGTAAATTGTACTATTAAGAAATCGAACCTTTTTAAAATTATTACTTTCTTATCAAAATCATCAAAGATTGTGTATCTCTCTCTCTCTTTCTCTCTGTCTATCTATCTATCTACCTATATAGCATGTGTGGTGTGATGAGCAAAAGGGATGAGACGGATAGAAGAGTCCTGTATACCCTTGTTTGTAAAGTACAGATGAAACAGCTGATCTTTTAGCTTACGTCTTCTCCAGTAGAAATGAAAGTGATTTGCATGAGATAAATATCAGCAAAGTTGCAAACACCTCTCGGGTGACGGGATTGGTGTGCCACAAAAGTAATGTGCTGTTATTGCTGCTTTTAATTGCCTTTCCAGCCTCTCCCACTTTTCCTCCTCTCTCTCCTATTGCCTTTTTAATATTAAATCTCAATTTCTAATGTGTTTATTTAACCTCTGCTAAACGATCGTAAAATATTTGTGCTCGTTATTGTTTTGAAGTTCACTTATCAATCTAATCTATTTTCAATAAACAGTAATTATTTAACTTAAATGAAAAATATTGCAAATTTTATGCTAACGATCGTTAAGAGAATGAGTTTGATTCTGTTGGAGAAGATAAAAAAATCTCAGAAAAGATGCAGAAAATTAGATCTGCAGCTTATATATTTTTCCTCTTAAACTTATCCTAATTTTTGTTTTCTAATTTGTATTTAAATTTCAGATTCTTAAAATCAATGTCAGTTCTACCAAACACCAAATATAGCGATTTGGTCCTTTGTCACATCCAAACAAATGTGCTTTGAAGTTCCCCTCTGAAGATCATCATACAGCACACTTTAACTTCCTTTCCTCTGCCGGATTGTTTTCATCCATTTATTTATTATTTACATATATATTTTCAGATAGAAATACAGATATCTGATTATATATATGTATATATATATATATAAATTTCAAGACTTAACTTGAAATACAGTATCCCATGTGGAGCGAATTCCTCCCCATATATCTGAAGGGCAAATTTTTTGGCTCTTCCAAACCTGAAAGTATTTACCCTTCTCTGTTCCGGCAATGGCAATAGCATCAGCAAAAATTTGTATCTCAATTACGGGAAATTAAAGTCCTTAAATTACATTTTTATTTACTTTATCCCTTCTTCTCCTCCTCTTTTTCTTCCCTTAGTCCTGCCCTTTCCTTCTTTTTCAGATCCATCAGATGACGATACTTTTCTCCTTACTCTTCAAATATATTTAAAATTTAATTTTGCACTATTCATTGATTCCGTGTAGAAGAAAAAAATCCGTTGAGAATTGCAGAAATGTTCCCCTATTATGCTCTATACTTCTTCTCCCCCATTTTTGAGTTCCGAAAATACACTTGTTTAATTGCTTATCTATTAGCGTGGTAATTTGCTGATGATAATTTTTGAGTAAAAACCGTCCACAGATTACGGATTACCAGCATTTGATAATCCATAGTCAAAGCTGTCAGCATTTGCAGAATCTCTAAGTATCACGATCCCAGTACTGTCACTTCACTTAGGTTGTTTTTGCTGTTGAAAATTTGTTATTAATCGTTTCCTACGAAATCAAATGTTCACCGCAGGCTGAGTATAAAATAAGCCTAGTATTCGAAACAGTGCTATTCTTTATTTTTCTTAATTCAATTAATTCACGAATATTTCTTACTGAATTACGAATTCAAATTTGTGTTAAGCGCTAAGCGGTCATCTTAAAATTCTCAATTCAATTTTCATAGAACTTTTTTCTTGTTAAACCGTCAATAGCTCGTAAGATTGCTTTCATTTTCTCGCAAGATAATTTATTTATTTTTTAATTGAGTGTTCCTTTTTCAGATTAGGACGAAACTTAAAAACGTTGAGCATCATTGAAACCTGTCCCAATATTTTTCCTCTTAAAAACGAAATTTTAAAAATTTCGTCAAAAGTCTGCTATAAAATTGAATGCCCGAAAAATTATTGACTACTACGAGTTGCTCGGAGAAAACAGAAGCACCTAACGCTGTAGAGGTTGATCCCGGTGAGGAAGATAGCAAACCACAAGAAACAACGTCAAAAACGCCAGTTGTGGTACCAACAACGGTACCTAATCTGGCACCATTTCTACTTCGTCCACCTCTTACAATGACCCAACTATTATACGAGCAACAGAAAGTGATATTCGCGCAACAACAGCAACAACAACAAACAACCAGTGCTTCTTCAAATTCCCTTTCGAATGGTATGTTTTCTCATTCGGGCTTTCTATAACTATTGCTATGCAATGGTTCGCTGTATAGTTCGGTATCCCGAGAGAGAGAGAGAGAGAGTATTCTAATTTACCAATTCCGTAATGAAAAGATTTGAGCATTAAATTGAAATTGTTTGATGAGCAAAAATAAACATCTGATTTTTGCATATAGAAGTGTCAGCGTATTTTTGTCTTATGATTCAAGTTTCTTATATAAACTGCTTCTTCACTACAAATTATTTCCAAGTATAATTTGGCTTCTTCCATTCCTGTACATGCATTCTTGCCGTCGTCAAAAATATATCATTCCCTGAAACGTTTACTTACTTTTTTCAAGGTATTATGCTAATTCATTAAGATAAGAAAGAAAAAGAGAGAGCAAATAAAATGATTTTTACTTTCTTTTTCTTAGGTTTCTCTGCAGCTGCATTATCGAAACCTAGCGAAACAGGTTCCTTCCTCAATTCTCCATTCGCAATTTCTGCTCTAACAGCCACAACCACAAGAAGCAAAGTAGTTCAGAGGAGGGACAGCGATGATGAACGGCAAAGCAATAAAGTCGTTGGAAGCGAATCCTCTGCAGGTTCATTTATTCATTTCCGCATAAAATATCATCAAGATATTCCAACGAAAGCATTAAGAATTTTCGGGTGATCAGTTGTTTACTGGACACGCTGTGATATCTTCTCCTGAAAGTCTGATGGATGGATGTAATAGGTACACTATTAACAACTATGCTGTAAATGGGCCCAATTATTTAATTCTATTTGCTCCTATTATTCTGATAATGTTAGCGGCAACTGGGCCTCAGGTGAGCTATAGTGTCCGTTTATTTTCCTCAAATATTGCTATATCTTGAAGAGATTTTAATTTACCATTTCTTACATAGCCTGAAGTTCGTTTTAAGAGAAAAAGCAAATTCTATCGGCTTATATTTATTTAGTTATTTTGTTTTAGTCTTCCGGCGCATTCTGTCCTTAGTATAGTTAGAAACAATAAAATACTGTATAAGTGATGGCACTTATGTCATCGATTTCTCGAACATCGGATAGTTTTTAGAACGGAAATAGTAGCTAGTCTTGAATTTTGACGAAGGTGAGTGCAAAAGACTATCAATAATACCAGGTTCTCATGACATCACTGAGAAAAGCAAAGCGGACGGAAAACGGTTTAATTCAACTGCATTGGTATCATGAAGAGTAGTATGGAGGGAGTATTATTGCAGAAATCTCTCACTTTCTCATTCTTCAACTCGCGAGTAACTTTTAAATCCATTGTCCAATCACGTGGAAATTCCGTCAACAGATAAATTGGATGAATATTATTCGGAACCTGGCTGAATCTCAGACCGCATAGATATCATCTACCTGCCTTTATTTTTTAAATGACATCACTCTTATTGAAACTAATTCTGCATATGGTTTTAACATATTTTTTTTGCTAAAAAGCATCAGAAAAAATCAAAGGGAATTCTAACTACTGCTTTTAATATTCAGGAACAACCGGCCACAGTATGAAGCCGTCCGTATCAAATGTAAGAAATTTACTTGGTTCAGTAGCTCAATACAATTATTTTATATTGTTTCAGCTTTCATTAATTTATTTCTTTTCTAATTTGCTTATTCAATGATCAACATATCGATAGATAAATGTTCCTAAAATAAGTATGAACTATGAGGCAAGAAGTGAAAAACAACTTAATTCCAGCCTAAAGACGTAAATAGCTATTAATAATTAATCAATGCATGAGGAAAAACTATCAATAAGTAATTAATTAGATGGCCTTTAATAATTAAGCATTAATGGAGAAAATAATGAATAGGTAACCAATTAAGTAATCATTAATGATTAAACACTGAGTAAGTGAAAAACCATCAAGAAGTAAATAATTAAGCAATCATCAATGATTATCTATCAGATATCATTGCAATTATTCTTTAGGACTTGTTGGGCATTACTGATCGACCATCCTCATGTTCCAACAGTCCTGAAGATAATGGAAAGCGGAAACAGCGCCGATATCGGACAACATTTTCTGCTTATCAGTTAGACGAGCTGGAAAAAGTATTTTCAAGGACGCACTATCCCGATGTTTTTACCAGGTACTGTTATTTGTGCAAATTGCCGAAAACGAATTCTTTGTACGGCAAAAATCTCACGAGATATTTTTTTAGCCATCTCTCATCTAGGTAATTGAATAATTTGTCTGATTATTTATGAAATAATTCAAAAAATGTCATGTCTTTTGTCCTCTTTTGTTTTTTGGATTTTAATTGCACCGTTGAAAAATGGTTGTATACTGTATTTTTGTCAGTGTATCAGTGAGTGATCAGTGATTGATAATGAACGACAGAGTATGAAATGATTCTTCTTAATTTACGGCTCGTAATCACCTGCTAAGAAAACATCTTTTATATTCATGGAAAGATGAAAGTGCATAAATCATCAAACAAGTAATCCATAAATAGTAGTAGCTGGTCTCGCTAAATGATTCCTTGTTAGTGATTTGAGAAAGCCGATGATTCTCTTATTTAGAAAAAATCAAAAACATCTGCAATTCAATTGCAATACGGCTTTCATCCTACAGGCATCCAATTTCTTTCTCTAATAATACTACTACTTATTGCTGATACCGATTTGATGGATGGAAGACTAATTATGAGTTTAAATGAATTCAAAAAGAGAAAAATACCGACAAATGGCATAAGCGTATAATTACAACAAATTATTTATTCCTATTATTCGCGAAATAGCGATTCTTTCAGTTGCAATGTTGCAATGACGATGACAAATACCCCCCACGTGGGAAAACACTTAATTTCCTTCTTCTACTCACCTTGGATGATCTCATCTATCCTCAGCATTTTTTGGTTACGTTGATAACGATTAATTTTCTAATTAGAGGGACTTGCAAAACACCTGTCACTCTTTCAAAGCCCTTCATTCTCTCCACCACTCTCAATTTGGCAAATCAACTAACTTTTTTGTTGAGTGAAAAATTTCTAAAGCATATTGAAATGTGAAGTAACCACAGCATCGCTAACATGAGTGAAAAATTTTTAAAGCATATTGAAATGTAAAGTAACCACAGCACATCCCTAACTTATCATTCTTTATTCAAGTGTAACTTTAATTTTATTAATTTCAGTTTAAGTAAAATTAGAATTCCTACCAATATTTGAACAAGGTTCCTCTTCCATTCTGCCATACACAACTTTAACATTTTAAAAATTTATAGATGCTTTTTTTTCAGAGAAGAATTAGCACAACGAGTTATTCTTACCGAAGCAAGAGTTCAGGTAAAAAATCTCCAGTTTTATCTTTTCTTCTTTTTTCAAGTAACATAGAATACGAAGATCGAAACTTGTGCTTAATTTCCTTCATAAATGGTATTTTAAACTTGAGAAAAAAAGGATATATCATTTATTTCAGGTCTGGTTCCAAAATCGACGAGCGAAATGGAGGAAGCAGGAGAGAACTTCCACAGTACACCCTTACGGACATACAACTCCGCACCATGTTCCACGAACTTCACACCCTCTCATGCAGCCGCCACATCCGTATGCACTTCTTGCTGCAGCTGCTGCGCAACAATCTGCTGAAAGCAGCGCCGACCCAGCTGCAATCATGGCTGCGATGAGCGCACAACACCAAGCATTAGGTTTGTTGAATTTATTCAGGCTAAGGTAAGAAGTGATAAATAGGGAGGTCTGGTATCACATAGTTCAACTAGAGGATCATAATTCAATAAGTGAAGAAGATTGCAGCAGAATCGATGATGAATCCGGCTGCAGCGGCATTCATGTCAACAACGCCTGCTCTCTTGAATGCTACCACTCTAACACCCACTCCATTGAAAGATGTAACCGAACCGCTTCGTCGTTCTTCGCCGGTTGCAGCTACTGCTAGTTTAAATAACGAACCGAATATGACGAATTCGGATGGAGCCAGGTAGTGAGCTATTAAAAACAAATAGTTGTAGAAAGTAACTGATGACAGAGAGAGAGTGCATGTGTGTGTATGTTTGTGTTAGCAAGTAATCGGAATCGCTTAATGCTCTTTTGTGAGATGGAGTGATTCGATGCTTCCATTACACCAGTGATCTAAATGCGACGATATCATCTTTTCATGCGCTATGATTAAAAGTAAGCTTCGTGAGTTTTTCTTTTATTTGATGATTTTAGATTCATGTATGAAGTTGAAAAAAATGACTTTTTTGCAGTACATCCACTCCGGTAAGCACGATTGCATCCTCTGTAAGTCCGGAAGTTGAGCGCTCAAAACCAATGGGAAGTGTCAATCCAGCGATCTCCTTAACCAAGTTGCCTACATTTGTTCCAGCAATAAGTACCACCAATGGTGCTGCTACAACTGCTGGAACCGATTTGACGTCCTTTGTGCTTAGCGGTTATCAACAACAGCTTGCAGCCGCCAATTACATGCAGCATTTACAACGGATGATTGCTATGGAAAATCTGTCCAAACAGTATTCAGGAATATGGCCCGGAACTGCTGCTACTACGACACCGTTGATTGGTGTCACTGCCGCAAGCGGAGGTTCATGGTCCGAAACGCAGCATGTGTTTGGATCACTGATAAGCAGTGGTGCGGCTATAACAGGCACTACAAAGTCACCGGTTAATTTGACGAATCCAAAGGATGAGTCAAAAAAATAGAGCTGTTCAAGAAATTTTTCGAAATGTTTATTTGCCATGATCTTTTGGTCTTTGGTTACTGTTCAAATTCTAACTTCGTCTCAACTTTTTTACTACCTTTTAAATTCGTAGCATATATAGCTCGGTTGTGACGCTAATTCAAAATAGCACCTAAACGGACTTAACGCGATTTTCTTCGACTTCGAAGGTTTCCTTAGTAAGCAAATATGCGTGCTGGCAATAATCCATTTACACTATGGCAATATCGAAGGGAAGACTGGAAGAAATAAACTGCAACGTAACTAGGAGTATAGCTAAGAGAATCGTCTGTCTCGGTTGAATTTGAGTAAATTGATCAAATGGATTTTCAGATCACTCGTTTTCTTTATGATACTCATTCATCTTATGCTTGAAATTGCATTTTCAATTGCTGTTCAATTGTAATTATAGTGAGTAACTCTTTTAGGATTCTTTTTTCTCAATCAGTCTTTCAGCAGTTTTGGCTCGAAATGTTTGGATAGGGCTGCTGCCTAGACCAGTGAAGTAACTCATCATGTGGTATCAAAAAATATACCACGTGTTAGAATTGATTGATTGATAGGTGTACAGGTTTACCACATCATTTATGCTAATCATTTATGAATAACTTTGACAGTATTTTGTATTTTGTCAGTTGCAAATTGCAAATTCCGGTGACTTCGGAATGATTTTTACTGCTTTTGAATTCAATGAACGTTGCATCTTAGATGCTGATTTTTCATTTTACAATCATATTTTGTTAAAATGATCTTGTTTATATTTTTTGAAATTTTTCAATCTTTTAATGGAACACTTACTTATTTTTGAGTGAGGGGAGGAAACTAAGAGGACGACGGTTTTTCTTTTTAAATACGATAATTAGAATTAAGTGCTGTGATTTGTGCCTTCCGTTATTTCTTACTCGATGTTCCAAACAAACTAACTGACTGATCAATGATTTGAATTATGGAACGACTCATTACTTTCAGTATTCTGTTTAAAATTGTTTAACTCCCTTTTCTCATTCTAGTTTCAGTGATGATTTATTTGTAAATATGAATTCGAACGATCATTTTGCGTATGTAGAAATGAATGAACTGATGATTGCTCCTGAGACTTCCCAGAGATATAATTCATCTATGTACTGTATTTCTCTGCGAGAAAGCATAGTGCTTCTTAGCCAAGGTTATATCCTCATTGTTCCCGAAAACGCATAAATTATGCCTTTCAAGAAATGAAAGATTCAACGGCCTCCCTTTATTGTGTGATTTTTCTCTTTGGAAGAATCTATTAAATGACCTCAATTGCAGAAACAACTAATTGACTTCGTCACTTCCTGAAAACTATCACTGGGATTTAAATTAATTTCTTTTGCTAGTCATTAAAATAACTTTACTTTCAAGGTCATCTTGCAGTCATCTCCTTACCTTCTTTCAGTTCGGTAAAAGACCTACTTTTGGAATCTCAACACTGTATAAGGGCATTTTCTACATTTTTTTCTGAATCGCTGGTTTTTGAGGGGAAAGACCAATCTGTTGCAATTTTGGGAAACCGAATCATATGACTAGAGGAGCTACAAGCCAAAACTTTATGATATTTGGCCAAAAAGAATATAATTTAAAGGCATTCCACAAAGATGCTTGCAGTACTTTCCGGTTAGTTAGTGATCGTTCTAAGAATTCATTCTAATCTGATAACTTCGATTCGAGAAGCAGTTTTATATTGGCTTAAATCATTAAATAAAAGCATATTTCTGGTTCGACTCAATCTCAAGGAATATTTTATTTCCCAAGCAACAAAAAAATTTAAATCGCACACAGAATGTTTTATATATGATCGGTGTTGCAAATTTTACAAAAAGAATTGCTTACTTTAACAATCGTGTTACCAGTTTAAATCTATTAACCTGAAACAGAATTGAAATGTACTTTTTCGGAACAAGATTGAACTCCTCAGCCATTCCATATCACTTTTCGCCAAAGATTTTTTCACCAAGCAATGAAAGTAGGTAGTAATAAAGTTGAAGATGTGATATCAGATTCTAACGTAGTGAGGACGTTTGCTGCTATTACCACAACACCAAATGCAGCATGACAAAATAAGGATGAGAAGCAATATCAGTGCAATGAGGTGTATCGTCCAAAACCAAATACCATTCCACCAAGCTGCCGATGACGAAATTTCTGGTGCATTCCGTGGCGTAATCGTGGAAACTGAAAAATTAATTTTTGAGCAAATTTTAAGCCATTCTAATCTAATAACTTGGATTCGAAAAGCAATCTTCAGTTGGCTTAAATCATTTATCATTATTTGAAAAAAAGCACCCTCGTCATCGATGGCAGTCATCAATTTAGTAGAATCTTCAAGCTTTTCGCTTCTTGTTTTGTAATGGCTTGAGGTGTTTTTTTCATCTGCGACAATTCGACATTTTATGTTATTGCATGAATTAATCGGTTCTTTTCCAATATTCCTTTCGTTTAAGACTGAAATTAATGTGTTTGTTCAATTGTAATTTACATCTACAATAATTGATTCCAAATAGATTCAAACTTTACACCTTGCTAAGGTTTGCGAGTGGTGGAAAAGGATGATGGTGAAGACTGCAAAACAATTTCGAAGATACTGAACCAACTGTATGGAAGAAAGCTCAATTGTAACTCTTTTCTCCTCAGAAGTTCGTGGTTTGACATTCAGTTACGCTACTGGTGGGAAAAACCGAATTTTATGATCTGATTTTTTTCTTATTGATTAAGACATTAAGCGACCTTTCAACACTTTTTCTCTTTATGACTTCAGCATTGTCTTGTCATGAAGAGACAGTTTTCTATTTCTCTTTCATTAATTTTAAATCATTTTGTGAATAACAGCGCAAAGGCAGAAATGGTTTGCTTGTCATTCAACTTTATGGAGATTTCAGTATTGTTGAAGATGCGTTCAATACATTTGCTTGTTGTATTTAGGAAGATTCGTCTCAGTGCGGTATGCCTCAACCACGCGGTTGTTCCATTAAATAGCCTCTTCTCTGGTTTTTTCTTATCCCGGGAATCATTATTGAAGCAATTCTCTCTACCTGAAAAATATTTGTAGAATGATGCTCATCGCTGCAATATCTATCCATCTCATATTTCACTCTTATTCCAACATTTTCACTCCTTTCTTGTCTGTCCATAATCAAAGTTCTCAATGCGAAACAGTCTCATCATTTTCACCGTACCGCAGGGAACATTTTTGTCGTCATATTGATGTCTATCAAACGATTCCACCAAATTATCATTGTTCATTGTTTGAACTTTGTCGAGTACATTTCTGGATTGTGCCTGAAAACAAATATTGTTGAAGTAAAATGCCGATGATCGAAATGTTAATCATTTCACTTTTCCACTCAATTTTTTTTGCACTAATGAATTAAAATAGATATTTCAGTCCAATATCCCGGTCATCTTTGTTTCCTCCTTTGTTCTTATGCCAAAATTGTACTAATTTTTTTGAAACATTTCTAGGCTTTTTTCTCTCATCGATCTTTCAACATATTTTTACGGCCAAGGGTTAAAGCGTTATACATTTTGGCCTGAGCTTATACTTGAAGACTGACATTTACCAATTTTGCATCCTTTTCAATTGCTTTTTCTCCATCGTTACCATTAACCGTTGCTACATTCCTACATCGAACATTTTGATAGAAGCACAGAAAAAGTATTAAGCGATTAACATCCATTATATTACTGGAATTTTTTTTACAGCTCATTTTGATAGCCTACATTTAAATAATCAAAACAATCAATCGATATAATGGCAGTAACTCTTTTAATCACTGTTCTACGTCGGAAACAAAGCACTGCCGTAAAAACATTAGCGCATTTTATATAACGGGTGAAATTCCTACATTTTGCTACTATCTTTACCTGTTTCATAGCAGTAATATTCTGGAAAGCTGAAATGTTTTTATTTTCGCAAAAAATGACTTATTGTGAAAGAATATTTTTGATATTATCTGATTTCTTCTTTTAAATATCGGAAGAAAAACAATCATTAAATTCTTCCTCTTCCAACTAGAAAATAACCTTTGATCATAAATTGAAGTAATAAATCGGAAAGATGCAAACGGTCGTGCTGAGGCTTTGCGTCAGCATTAACATAGAAGAATATTGTTAGTTTACTTATTGATAAGAACTACCAGAAATACTGATAAAAACTACTACTTGCATACTTGATAAACAGAAATTATTAATGGCTGCATCAAATGCCATATATATATATATATATATATATATATTGTAATAAGCAGCTATAGATCACTTATTTTTAACAGTCAGAAAATCTGCATTAATTACTCCTAATAATTTGTATCGTCAACTTTGAAAGGCGTCTGACATGGAAAAGCAGAAATGAATTTCTTTCAGTTAGGCAGCAGAATTCATCAATCCAATATCTACTCTGATGTCTCGTACAATTTTAGAAATGTTAGAAGTTTTAGTTTTATGCATCAATATCCCCAAATGATTTGTTCATATTTTGGAGAAAATCGAGCTAAGCCTTAACTTAAATCAGTAGCTGGCATCTCTTCGTCAATCAATCAGGCGATTGATCATACAATTCAACACATAGATGGTCTCTCTTTGCTTTTTTCAAGTTTCCCGAAAAATATTCCTTGTTTGCTGCGACAATAAGCCGTGTGTCGTTATTGCACTTTAAGTCACTGAGTTAGTGAGTTTAAGTCAGTTAGTGAAAAGTACCCAGATACTTCGTGAATCATAAAAAGAAGCACTTGAGAAGAAAGCAGAAAGAATAAAGCCTGAAGATATCATTTATATCATTTCATTTAATGAAATTTTCTTCACTGAAATGAAATCCGACGTAAGGATTGCCTCTTCGAATTGACAATTGGATGGGTGGAATTCAAACGTATTTGAATCATGTCCAAGTTCATTGAATCCATCCGGAAAATGTAACTGCTCTTTCAAGATGAGCTTTACAAAAAAGCTCCTCTATTCACCATCAGATTACTATGGTAATAATTGAACAATATTATGCGCTTTTTTCTCCATTGAAAATATTGGCACTCATTCGATTCTCCGAATTGCTATGACGGCAGAATTTGCCATAGATACTGATAGCAGATACTGATAGCAAACGGGAGGTGCAACAAGAGACAGTTTAAGTTTCTTCCCCCGAGAACTTTTCTTTCTAAGGGTTACATTAAAAATTATACATTTATGTAAAATTAGTAAAATCTATGATCAAATCGCATTTGTGAACAATTTGCAATCAACAATGAGTGCAGAAACTTTCACAACTACGACTGCAAATATGATTTAGTACCGTGATTAAACTAATTGGCAATCTATGTCGAGCAACTGCAGAGAAGACTTGGTCACTATTTCGTTCTTCGCACTTCTTGATCTGTTACAGTTCTTTCAGTACTGGTTTATTATCTGCACATCTTAAATTTGGCTAAGTAAACAGTAAGTTAAACGTAGAGGGAGCAAAAAAGTTTTTCACTTTGAAACTTGTGCAAAATTCCTTTAAATCTTAGATTAAATGGGCTTGAAGCCTTGTACTTTTAATAAAATCCATGTAAGTTATATGTGCTATTGCTATTTAAGTAGGAGAGAGAGAGAGAGAGAGGGAGAGATAAGACAACAACAAAGTTTATGCCGCTTGTTAAGTTGGAGGGATCATTTCAACAGGTTACTGAAATAAAGTTTTTCATGAGGTGTCCATCAAGGTGTTCAGATAGTGGCGTAACGAGAGCAATGGTTGGAACACGTCGGCACAGATGTTATGAATTGCTTGGGGTTGTGCCTTCTCGTTTGTATTTGCTCGATCTAGTATATCTCTTCTGCTGTTTTCTATTTCTTCCGGATATTCGGTGTTTCCAAGGGCAGACGGGAAGTAAAAAAGACACTAATGTAATTCATTAATTTCAAAAGGATTTAATTCAAAAATAATGATTTATCATTAGAAATTTATGGAGGTATTTAAGCAATTTGTCTAAGATCTAAATAAGAATAAAACTTGCGTGATATGTATAATCTGGGTGTAACGATTGCTGTATAATGCATGTTGACATTTTTAATCAGAAACGATGTCAGGCTGAATTTCAGTTCGAATTTGAATTTGAGCTTTAGACTTTTTGTAGTAACATGGTGTCAAATATGTATCTTACTATTTCGTTATTCTTGCTGCTAATAGAGAAAATGCAAAGGAGGGATATGTGAAGTTTATAAACTAACTAGTTCAAATTTAGTGTTTTATTCTTCTGAGATCCTTAATAATAATGATTTAATTGAAATTTTAAACAGCTTTTATTATGTATGGATATATATGGATTAAAAAATTTAAATTCAGCTCCATATTTCTAATTGCTATGTCGAAATACTAATTTTTAAATTTAATACAGACATTATAGTCTAAAAGGATGTGCTCGAAGATTTGAAGACGAAAGAAGCCCATTCTTTGTATTCATTTATCTAAGTTTTATTTCGTTGTTCGAGACTACTGATCGGGACGATAATGGCTATCGTTTATCTTGTTAGTGTTAATATTAATTAATTTAATTCCTCTCCCGAGTTGCTGCCTGGAAGACATTACTTTTTGTAAGCTCAAAATTATATCTAAAATTATATCTGATTTGCTGCTAAGAGCCGCCCACATAGGTCTTCCAAGTGTTTTTACTCATGCTCATTGATGGCCCTTCCGTTAAAGAAGCGAAAGAGAACAACCTTCCTCTATAAAATTGCTTTTTTGTGAAATGATATTTCTGTTAGGTTCTATTTATCTTTGTTTTGTATAACAGGCAGTTTTCTTTCCTTCCTTTGAAGTATACTTTTTGAAAAATGTCATCATTGGTTATTTAGGAAAATAATGCTGTCCGTTTTGTTTAGATAATTGTGTGGTTAGCAGTGTTTTTGCCGTTAACTTCATCGTTAGGATCAATTGCAAAGAAAACAAAATTGTGTGGCGATGAAGCATGTTCAGGTAACAATTTTTTCGAGCTTCCTGAAAGGCTGATTTCTTGTATATAGGCAGAATTTGATTGTTTGTTCGACGGAGAAATTTCGAAATTTAGACAATCCTTTGTCTTTGTCGGAAAAATTGGCTAATATATTTTCCATAGAATAATAGATTTGCTAGTTGTTACACGGATGAATTTCCAATTGCTTTCTTTTTTATGTTCATAGTTGCTGAGAGGGGAGTTATAAGCATAGTTCGTCCTGTTGTCGAGTTAGTACTAATGTTGCCTGCGTTATGAAAAATATTCAATATTTTTTCTTATATTTTCAATGTTAGTTTTAATTTCTTCCCACTTTCTTTTTTGTGTTGATTTTAAAATTTAGAGAAACTGTTCGAAGGAAAGTTTCATCGTGCATCGTTGGCTACTCACGAGTCATTTTTATCGCCTAATGAAAACGATATTGTCAGTGTCTATGCAATTAAATTCAGTGATCGGACGGATTTAATGGAAGGCGCGGTAAACGTTTAATTATTTGCTTATTCCTTAATGGACGGTGTTTTTATCGCAACTTCCAGTCATTAGAAAATAGTGCGTCTTCTGGTTCTTTAAAAAAGCTTCCAGTATCAACAGATTAATCATTCTATCTTCGGTAAGATGTTTGTAACCGCACGGCTTTAATGTTCCGAACAACCGTTGAAGCTGGTAGTATATATTATCTATTTTATTATATATTATCATCTATTTATACATTATTATCTGTTTCAGTTCACTTTGTAGTTTTTATATTTTTCTGCTTGCAGCTTGTTCGTGAACCGTCAAAAAAAGGAAATTTTTTTTCAATGCATATTAATCTCGATGATTACGTGGAATTCCTAAAAAATGCGGTTGTATCCAACAAAACGATGTTTATGGTCAGTAGAGATCCGCGCGATCATCCTTCTCACAGATTAGTCGGTAACAATAATTACTTAATCTCTTGCATTATTTGAGTTTGTCTTCATTATTGCTCTTCTCGAAAAACTTTATGCGTTTCATACACTGATGTTTCGAAGTAATATCTGATCAGCAATATTCTCTTGTCGATCTTGCTCTCACTGGAAAAAAAATTTTAAGGTATTAAAGCAGCGTTACCAGAATTAATCAAAGATTATGAAGTGAATGTCAAGCGTCTTTCGGTCGAAAGACAGTTATCACCAGAACAAAGCGACCATGCTGCATTGGGTTACTTATCCGACATTGAAGGTTTTCTTGTTTGTTGAATTCGGTCATTTAAATTTGATGCTGGATTGTGTGGATAAAATATGTTTGGATTTTATTAACTTTATCACAATTAATTTTATCATAATTTAAAATGTTTTTTACAATTTATATTTTCTAAAATTTGAATGGTATATCCTAGCTTAATCATTTTTGTTTGGAAGTTAATCTATGAGTGTTTAAAGACATCTATGGCTAGGTGAGCTGTTTTCTTTTTGATCGGACTGTTTATTTTCATCATTGATATCTCGAATTCATCAAGGGCATGGACATTCACACGACTACGGACATAGACATTCTTTTGATCACGGACTTCCTCATAATCACGAACATTATCATGATCGTAGTGTGCACGCAGATTCGCACGAGCATATCCGAATTGTGCAACATACACGTCAACCAATTCTTTCTTCTGAACAGGCGGTATTTTTTTTTCCTGATTTGATTGTTCCGTATTTTCATAATATCGATTTATAAAAACTTTGATTTAAAGCAACTTGTAGTCCTTTGTATCTTTCATGCACCTGGTTTGTGTAAGTGCATTTCACGATTTTCATGAAATGATTTAAAGTATGTTGTGATGAGGTTGTACATCGAAAGCGGTCTTACATAAGTTCCTTAAAGTGAATTTGCTGTGGTAATCTATCATGTCATTTCGTTATAGATGCGGTTTTGTTTAAGCATCTGCGCATTTGTTTGAAGTTTCGCAAAAAAATGGTATGATCGGCACTGCTTTATCATATCTTGAGTTTAGCGATAGTGATTGAAATACATGTTCCAGGCAGTTTCACCGCTTCCGGTGGCAAATGTCGCATCGAATGAACCGCAGAAGACATCTACTGGGACGGTCACTTTAGTTCACCAGCACGAGGTTCAAAATCTACATAATTCTTTTACTTGTGAATGGTTAAAATTTTCTAAATTTTATTTATCATGTAATGGATTAGATTAAGCATGCACATTTATATATTGTTATTCCAGATGCCTCCACTCGAATCTGATTTCAAGGTCGTGCCAGAAATTACCGCACAACAAAATTTAATGCATGGATCTGCTTCTTCTGTGTTGTTGCAAGAGGCGGAACCTATCTCAAAAGTCACTCCTGGTGCTCCCGAAACAGTGGTATCTGGATTTCCATCAGCTGCGAAAGAAACGTCAGTTACATCGGAAAATTTACTCCCATCTAATACAAATGATACCAACTTTGCAGCAGAAGGCATTCTTCCGCAAATCGACTCATCGCAGGAAAAAATATCACTGGATGCAAACATTGCGAATGCGCAAAATTTGTTGCCAAGTCAACCGCTACAGCCGGTATCTATGCAGCAAGTTAATACTGAATTACCTCACCAGCAGGTTATGACTACTCCTTCATCAGTTGTACTTCTCGGATCTAATCTTCCCCCTACACCGGACAATATATTACAAATCAATTTCTCTCTCTCATCCGTAAATGCACCCTTACCAAGTATTTCTTCTCAAACCGGTGGCCCTCCATCAACTCTTCCTCCTCCCTCATTACCAGTCGCATCAGATAGGGCGACATCAGTACCAATAAACAACGCGCATTCAGATTCCGTTCATGTATCATCAACACCATCATCTCCTCCTCTGGCAAAACATATTGCTGAATCGGAAACATCATCTCCAAGTGACACTTCAACGATTCTCATAGGTCACGATGTTTCACCTGTGTCAGTTCCTCCTCGTACTGAACCAGCAACAGTCGGCTTTGTTGCTTCACAGCATGATCCAGTTACAGTACTGTCTGAATTCAGTTCTACAGTGAAAATGGAGTTGGGATCAAGGGGAAAAAATTCAGAAACAACAGCAGTTAACTATCCGCTTGAACCATCACCATTTCCATCTGCCTCTCCCACACTTCCGAAAATGCGTTCCTATGTCATAAATCCATCAGCAATCGAAGGTATTTCACATGATGAACAGGTACATCAATTTGGATATGGCAGTTAAATTATTGATAATATCTATACTAATATCTACTTAGCCATATCTTCGTATGAATTAACCGAAATAGATAATAGTGAAATCTTTTTTGTGCTGTTTTATTCGATCACAGACATTTCGAACTCTTAATATGTTTAGGAGCTTCTTTGTTTTCGGACTTGTTTATTCTGAAATATCCGAAAATTTTGTTATAAGATGCTCACTCTTAATTTTAACACATTTTTGCGCTTTGAGCGAAAGAAAAATATTATGGCAAGGAGAATATTTAGATCAAAAAGCATTCTTGCGAATGATAGATGTATTGTAGTTATCAGTGATGTCAAACAAAATCGATTAACGGGGGAAGTTTTACTGCAGAATTTTTTTTGGATGATTTTCCGCTGACTTTTTATTTTGTACCATATTAAATTTCATCGACTTTATTTTATTTGAGGATGCACAAAGAAATTCTAAAGCAATAATGAACATGGAGCAGGGAAATGCCGAAGAATCTGTACAAACAAAAGAAGTGAAAGCAGATGATATAGAAAATGGATTAGTACGCTAGTTTACTAATAATTTAGAGTGAAGCAGTAAGTCAGCGGTTCTGAAATTTATTATGTGATCCTCATTGGCTGCTGAATAATGTGCAGTGCGGCGAATATATTCCTCATTGAAAGTTTGAGCCGCATTATAATGGGAAAGTGATTAACTAGATCTTAAAGAAGATGTAAGATACACTAGTGAGTATTAATTATTGGTTGGCAGCTCGAACAGCTATTATGTTTATTTTTGTCAATTGTCTTCTGATAAAGGATGAGATAGGATGCAGTTTGAAGTTGAACTATATTATATAGTCATTTGTTTAAATGATAATCTCTTTTTATAGGACTACTGCCTGAAAGATGAATGTGACAATGCCTACAACACTCCTGAGGCTGATGAAAAGTTACGGACAGAATATTTGTGTACGATTAGAAGGTGGCTGAGCAAATTAATTGGTGTTGTACGGTATATGCTGCCGTCATCAATAAATAACATTGACGATGCAGGTGCGTTCGTGTAGTTGAGTCTAGGTAATATCGCAAGTAAAAATGCTATTTAGTTTGCTCGGAACCATCAATAAAGTGAACAGCTAATGAGATATTGTGATTGATCATAAGCATTTAAGAAGTCGATCCTCGTTTTAAGTTTTTAATTTTCATTTATTATTGAGGCATAGTCTTATGTTGTTGATTTATTAGGATCTACAATGTATAAGTATTTCATTTTTTTGGTATATACTTCTTACGGAGTAATTCTGTTAATTATCTGATCATTTTTTCCTCAAGTTCTTTTTCTTCGGTTTTTTTTCTTCGTGAAATATAACGAACACTGTGCATTTGCAGGAGTTTTGGTGACATTTTTCGTTCCTATCTGTTTGTTTATTCATTTACTACGAATGCTAGTTTTTGCGGATACTTCGGACAGGGATAATTTCGATCGAAGAATACTACATAATGCATTGACGACTATTAGACAACGTGAAGTTCAGATAATGGTTAATTGATATGCATATTTTTCCTCGTAGCATTCGATGTGTGGGTAGATTTGAGAACCTATGAAAGTGTTGTGTTTTTTTCTTATTATGATATTTAGTGACCAATATTTTCGCAGCGTGGAATCAGAAGAGTCGTCAAATTGCTTGAGTATTTTTTTCAATCTTTTTTTCAGTTATTGCATGCTGAAATGGAGAAAGAAAAAAATGCATGGAATACTGAAATGGACGAGAAATTCAAAAATTTGCGATCAGAAATGAGCCAGTTGAAAGCCAAGCATGCATTTTTTTTTTGCATTTTAGCATTGTGAAGAAGAATATTGTTGTTGTTGTTGTTTACTTCTTAGAATTTTTATCGTGTAAAAACGAACTCTAGCACTCAATATCTTATAGGTGTCATATGCTTGAGGAAGAAAATGATAGTCTGAGAGCAGAAACGGATGAGACGAATCAAATGATTGAAGAAGAACGTTTGAAATGCAGGAATTTAACAGAGCAAAATGGAAATCTTGGGGAGAAAAATGAGGTTTTCTTTCTTTATTAGCGTAAATATATTACATCGTAAACGATGCTTGCCATTGAATGGAAATTGAGTGCGAAACATAATTATAAATTTTCATCAATTATGGCATGTGTTTTGAAACTCGGAAGGGATTTTTCTTTTATTATTTGCAAATGAGGGTAAGAGAATTAATTTAGAGAGCTATCACTAAACTATAAGATCCAAAAAGGAAATGTACTTTTAGTTGCTAACGAAACAATCATCTGAAATGCATGTCACCGTGGAAATGTTGCATGAAGAGAATGAACGTTTGGTTAGTGAAGTTGCCAAAAAAAGCGCACAATTAATACGTATTGAATCGGAAGCAAAGTCTTATTCACTCGAAATTAAAAATTTGAAAGATCAGTTGGAAGTAAGGATTTATGCATTATGCTTGTTTTAATTTTTTTCACATTTCATATTTAAATTCGGATTGATCCAAGAAGCTGCATAACGAAGATGTATGTTACTTCTTCATAAATGAACTGATTTTTTTCACGATCCTGATACTGCAGGAAATTAAACTTTCGAAAGTAACTTCTTCAGCATATATTTTGCAGACATCTTTGTCAGAAAGAAAAACACTACACCAGCGTGTGGAAGAACTTGAAAATGAGATTGTTCAGTTATCGGAGATTATAAATGAAATACGTGATTCAAGCAATATTTCTGCCCGTGACAAATCATCAGCTGCTAAGGCCGAAAATGGTGAGCAAATACGGGAAGATATAAACGGTTAGGTTTCTTTTATTTCATATTAATTCAATTTGACTATAAGACACTGATAACATGGATCAGTGATTGAATTTTTGAAAATTTTTGCTCCTATACTGCTTTAAATGATTCATTTATTATTACCATTTCTTGTCATTTATTGTCTATCGTTGTTGCAAATATTCTTATATTATTATTTGGTTATGTCAGATATAGTTAGTTCTATATTTGGATAATGAATTCAACGAAATAGTTTGGGGCAAGCATACAAGATACTAATATAATAGGGGAAATACAATGAAAACGTAGTTGGAAAAAAGCATTAATATCTAAAAAAATTCCGAGACCTGCGGTTTTTTCTGTGTTTATGAAGTTTGTTTAGGTGAGAATGGTTGGTCAGATTTTGATGAATTTGACAATCCACCAGCAGAGGATATACCAGAAAGACCGAAAAAAAATCATGTGGTTTCACGATTTTCACCTGCTGAAATTATGGAAGTTGCGAAACTCAGAGTGCAGTTAAAGACTGTTGAGGCTGATTTAGATCAAGCAAAGTATGCTCAAAAATATAATTCTGACTTATAAGGATAAACACTGCACTGTAATGGATCTTGTCGCTTCTTTTTCTACAATCTTTTAATCATAAGATTAACATTCTTTTTCGTTGTAGATGGCTGCTATTTTATGTCGCCTCGTAGGAAGAGCAGCATGCAAATGTTTCCATCTTTGCATACAACTGTTGCGAATAGCTAATATAAGATTTGGTTGAACTTTTTATGTATAAGCAATTCCTCCGATTGTCTTAATTTTCTGATTTTTGTGAAAATGTGGTCCATATAGTAGCTGGTTGATTACAGATAAGTTGTTTTATGGAAGTTTTATGTTACTTTTCAGCCTTTAGCACTGTCAATGTAGGCTTAACTGGTGCTGGATGAGTGACTTATCTATTGATGCAATCTCCCTGTTCATTTCATGCAGTTACAATTTAGGTTGACATTACAAAAGCAGTTAAATGAGCGAGATCATCTGCTGCGTAAAGTTGAATTTGCCGAAGCAGAAGCTGCAAAACAATTAAAAGAAGTGAATGTAAAGGAAACAGAGAGGATTGAAGCGCAAAACCAATTCAAAAGAATTTTAGGGATGGTCGAAGAACGAGTAAATTTTTAACAAAGTCGATTAAAACACTTAACTGTAACAATACGTATGTAAACTATTAGTTTAACCGTTCTGTTCAATTGAAGGAAACAAAATTACGAATTACGGAAGAACTAGCAGAAAAGATGCGTAATGAGATGATCAAATGGCAAGAAGAAGTAAGAAGATTAGAAGACCAAAAAAAAGCTATGGAGTTCAAATTATTGGTAATTCAACTAGTTTCACTTTGTAAAGTTTTTTGTATTGTTGATATGTTTTGCTAGCTCATGGTTTTTCCTTTTAAAGAGTGAGATTCTTTTGGGAGAAATAATGAAGAATTTATAGTCTGTAAAGTGAAGTAAAATAATGATTTTTGAAGTGAGGTATCTGAGGAATTCGAATGTATTGTTCAGTTTAAAAAATTAGATTCTGAATTGTCGTTTGTTTGTAGTCCAAAATTTTTCGTTTTGTAGGAAGCTGATCAAGAATTGAAACGTTTGAAAGCAGAATATGCCAAGTTGGAAACGCGTAGTTTTCATGAAATACGTCAATGTAAACAGACGATAGCAGCTCTTCAGCAGCAGGTTTTTTGGGATTTGTGATCGTTTTACGAGCAATATTAGTCTGCTAATTTTACTGCGCATTTTTTATCTTGAAATTTGATTTACTAGTTTTGGAATCATTAGGGATGAGGAATGAAATTACAGTCATTGGAGCAAGTTCGCATGTCGAATCCATCGTCAAATTTACTTGACAATGCTAATGTATTGAATATCTCGGCATCATCATCATCAGATCGTGATTATGCTATATCACTCAACAGCAGCCTAGTTGCACCACCGTTTTTACCCAGTGTACGACCTTTATGGGGTGACGACCCAGTCGAGGTTTGCTTGTGCATAAAATTTTGAATGAATCAACGCTTTTCATTTATTACAACTTCAGAGGTAACTAACAGCAGTTTAATGGAGGGTACTTTTAATTAACGAATAAAATTTTTTTAAATCAATATACAGCAAGAAGTGAATTAGAGTGAAAAGAGGGAAGGAAGGGGTGAAGTGGGATTTCTGATTCGGAGCCGATCTAGCTCGTTCCTGATGTATTTCCATTCTTTCTCTACTCTCCTTCCGATTTAATCTGACTTTTAGATAAGCTTTTCTAAAGATAATATGAAAGAGGGGATTTATTTTTGGCTCGTAAGTAAAGTTCAGTTTGCGTGTTTTATGGCTTTGTTACAGATTTTTACGTCTAGTGAAGAGTCGTCGCTGTTAAAAAAGGTAGATCCTCTGTTAAATGTTGTCACAACAGAAAATGGTAATATCAGCCACAACAGAGGATCGAAAGAACGACGAAGTATTAGGGAGCGAGAGCATAGTATTGGTGTAAACGTGGATGGTATGCAATCTCGTCATAAGAAGGTTGGTTCATTATCAGGTTTCCCATTATAAAGCCAGTTGGAAATGCTGTAAATGACTATTCAGAGATCACGACGATTCGTTTGCAAAAGTCGAGCTGGTTGAGCAAGTCAAAAAGCTTTACATTTGGATCTTCAAAAATAGAATATTTTTTTATAATTTCTATTAATTGTTCATTTATGATTGATTTGCTTTATTTTTGAATATTAATGATTTCTTTTCATTTTTTAATATTGTTTTAGGAAGGTAGGAGGATGCGTTCACGTTCGCATGGTCGTCATCCTTTTCGTACGGATTTTTCAATGCTGGGTATGCCTGGGTATCCAGGACCTTCTGTAGATTTTTATACCGGTACAATCCTTAATAAGCAAAACAGCAAAAGTGGTACTTTGTATTATTCGTCCGGCGGTTCAAATGATGGTCGCTCGCCTCCTCCAGAAATGGCACTTCTTTCGGGTGTCCCACCTCCTGGTCCGATGATCAAAAAACCAATGCCACGACCAAAAAGTTCGTTTTTTGAATAAATTTGTCTTTTGTGTGAAGTGGGGAATATATGGCGTCTGGACTAGTCTTAAGTTTTTATAACTTAGGTTACTACATCATTTTAATGAAATATGATATAGTTTGAAATAATATGCATTGTTTTACATGTCATATGTACCGATATTTTCTTTTTGGAGTAACAAAGTTTCTGATGTATAACTATAATGAAAGACTCGATACCTTTCACAGAGGTCGTTATAAACAATTTTATATATGTAATTCGAAAGATCTTACGAAGTTTTATGCATCTGTTGTTTTTCAGGTAGCATCGAACCGTTGGAAAGGCGTTAAAATTGGTGTTATCTCATACGAAGATTTGTATGTTTCTTTTCAGCCTTTCTCCGTTGTAGAAAACATTTTTTTCTAGCTTCGGGAAAAATTATATCATGTAACTTCAAAACGGAAAGAGACGCACTGAACTATGGATGGAATTATTCTTTTCTGTTTATATTTCAATTTTTGTTTATATTTCAATTTTTTCCGTGTTTTGGGACTGTGATCGGATTATTTCTTTGCTTTTTTCATAAAACTTTGCTGTCCAAATATTGTTGTTTTAATGTTGGCACAAAAGTAACGTATCAAACAGCTCTGAATCTAGCTATTTGAGAACGAAAGATTGGGTTGATTAATTAATATTTTAGCAACACAGTTAATGCAAACCACTGTGGAAATATTGCTGACGAAACGCCTAAAATGAATAATCATGGGCACCTCTTGAATTCTATCGTTTTGTTCCCTTGATGCTGCTGCAACACAGCTGTATTCCAGTTACACGTCATTTTGTCTAAACTTCATCAATCCTACTTTATTATTTCTTATCCCTGACTCTTAAAAACTTGTTAGAGTTTTGCACGTGCAAAGAATGTTTTCACGAACTAATTTACAAGAGATCTTTTTTATATTTATAGTTGATGCAAACATAAGATGACACCTGCAATCATTAAGTATAGGACTAAATTGATAACAGTTTTGTGCTTTGCAAGCATTCAAATCTGTTCGGATCAATTGACTTCTGTACGTTGGTTAAAAATGTGGCACTCTCTTCAATGATAACAATGTGGATAAACTTCAAGTTATATTAGGGGAATGTTTGTATTTGAGAAGTCTTATATTATTTTTATATTTAAGAGAACTTGATTCCAGAATATAACCTTGAGGCAATAGGCTAGCAATGTTGTGCAATTTACAGATTGATTGTGTTTATTCCATTTACTTGAGAATATTCGTCATCAAAAGCTTTGCGACTTCTAATAATCAGGAAGTAGCGCATTTTTTCAAGACTGGAAGAAGTAACATATCGACAACTATGAAAGAGCTCATACTACAAGAAGTGTAATGACATAAGAAATCGGGAGGAGTTTCCTATTTGTCCTGTTTTTGCTTCTCACATTTTATCTTTTTCGGACTTGTTGCTTCGTTTGTTTTAAGATTGCATATTTCGATTATCGCACTTAATCCATATTTCGATCCAATAATCCAACATATACGCTGATGTTGTCATGAGAAAGAGATCCATTTAAGATGAAGCTCAGTGTTCTTTCAGTTTTGCCTAACAAATTTGGTGACCATTTTCGATTGTCAATTCCAGTTATGTCCCTTCCATTTTGTAGTATAGAGAAGTTTTAGGGCAGTATTTAATCTACGATGACTCGCCTTCTGAGTCTGAGGTATACATAAATTTAAAGTTTCCCATATTCGTAAGCTCAATTGCATTCCTTACGTAGTCTCCATCTCTTCATCTCAAATGTGAACTTTTGAATCCAGCCACTTACAGCACTTTCAGAACAAACTCACATACAGCGCTCCAACTAAACTACCATATGAGAGGAGTTGAGAAATATTTAAGGAAGAAGAAAATTTAATTGACTTAAGAATGTCCTGGAAAACACATCCTCTGTACACTTCAATAGATTTCTTTGTGATTCATACTGTGCAACGTACGTTTCGAAGACACTCGTCGATCAAGATTTTTAAAGTTAAAAGAGCTGCTGTTGCATCATCATTCATTCATGTTATAACATCAAATGGACGTTGATTTCTAAGTCCACTGACGTCGATTTGTAAGTCCACACTGACTTAAAGTACAATTATATGGATCGTTCCAATTAAAATTCTTCGTTAAACAACGATTGGAAATTGATAAGAAGGAAAATGGTTATTTCTGAATTCCTCTTCCCCTCCTCTCTCAATAAAACATTTGAAAAATAAATCATCGAAATGCCTGAGGATAATGATGAGAATGATCGGAGAGACATCTTATTATATTCTTGAAATGTACGGGAATTGTGTGTAAGTAATTGAATGAACGGAGTTATATGCTTTGACATTTTTTCAAACTTCGACATTTCTACTTCCGATTGTGGTGGTGTGTAATTTTGCGTGAATTGATTGAACTGATAGCGGTATGCCTGTTGCTGGTGACAGTTGTCAACCTTTGCATCTGAAAATGAAAAAACTCGGGAATGGGCAAGTTTTTTCAAGTCTTCGATATGATACGGATTTGCCACCGCGACATTTTAAATCAATTAGTATAGTTGAGTTGTAGACACACATTCGATTCAGCACTACTTTGATTAGTTGGCGTAATTGACAGAAGACATAATTAATAGCTGTAACTTCAGAGGTCTATTTATATTTCTGTCATCTGAAATATTTTCCAGTAAACTGCAGGTAGTACTGATTCTCATTTTTGGTAGCACTGTGGCGATTTCAGGAGGGACTCTTTTTAACTTCAAAATTACAATTTCTCCCTTTTACAATCATTTTTAAGTGATGAAATGCTCAGAAGTCTATATCAGTAATTGTTATCAACGTTGCTTCTCTTCTCTCATCTTTGTTAATGACACTTTGTGCCCAAACGCTGTCAAATTATCACTATCACAATCCGTTCTCAGTACACTCGTCCACAATTACGGATTTATATCAATATCGATCTGAGAAATTGAAGTATCCGCCGTGAGAGATGTCATTCTTTCCGGCCCTCCAGTACCTGCATCAGCAATTCCAATTCACTGGAAAAAGGCAGCAGGTGTTAGATGAAGTGAGCTAAATCCCTGCTGCCATCTAACTTATCGTCAATAGCTAAGACGAAATATCTCAGTAAATATGAAAATATCCAACTTCCCTTAATTTATAATCCTCCTTCCATAAGAATCTTATTTTGCTTAAAAGTGTTTCTGTCATGTTAGAAAAAGAAGATTTAATTATTATAAGATAAAGAATCATTAAGGATGAAAGGTTAATTAAGAGAACGAATAAGGTTACAAGGATTTGAGAGACGGTCGGAAGAACTCTTCAAATGTTATTTGCTCACAAATTAGGTCGATCTCCCGCTTCTCCCTACTCTGAGGCTTTATTAAAATGCTGAACTCGTAATGATGTATGGAGCACCTAAGCCGGTTTACATTCGAGTTGCAGAAAACGTCGTCATATCGGAACTTACCAAGGACCAAGGGAGACAAAGAGTAAGATGTAGGGGTTTCTGCTTTTTAGAGGTCGTTCGAATTTTGAAGTTGTTTTAAAGAAATGGAATTCAACTTATCTCATGATATGCTTGTTCTTTAAATCAAAAACATGTTCGGAAAATGTTTAGAATTCGTCCTAAGTTTTCTTTTGTCCGAAATTTCAATCAACTCAAACAAGTTATTCATTCTTAGCTTCAAGGAGTAATATTAAGAGGGAAGAATGTTCGAGTGGTTCAGTTGCTACTATTTAATGCATGTGATATGTCATTTGAATTGATTTCAGATTTCCACATCCTCTCAGTTCGCTATAATTAATACGATTTTCATTTACATGGCTAATCTCGAAACACGCACAAAGATGCAGAAGAATGGTATTTACGGTTATTCATTTTTATCAACCAGTTCATCTTTGTCAACCGGTTCATCCTTAACTACTGCTGTGCTTATAGCTATTTTATGTGCAGCATTCATTGCATTAACGAAAAATATGCAGAAGCCAGGATGCTATCGTCGACCGTATAATATATCACAACTCGGTAAGTATTGAATGGTAATTAATATCGATATTTTCCATTTAAAATGGATTACTCATTGGTCGTTTGAGATCATTTGATCCATGGTTTTTCATTCTGCATATTTGTTTTATGTGATTACATTTTACCTTTTAATTCACCTGCTGATTTTAACTATGATCATCAGTCTACGTTTTCTTATTTCCTGTAGTACTGGGGAGCTGGCACTTTACTATAACTTTATCAGTGCCTGGCTCCTTTGTTCATGTCTAATTATTCCCATTACGCACAATATCTCACTTATATCTTGAGCAAATGATATTTTTCATGAGAAACGTAGTAGCTTCTCTGATGCAGACTTTTTCGTAGGGAGTGAAGTTTTGCTCGCCAATGGATCCCATCAGTTCCGTATAATGGTTGTGGCGGATCTTGACAAGAGCAGTAAGCATCCGACAGAGGAAAATCTATGGCAAAGCTTCATAGAATTTGGTGTTCTCACGGTAAATAAGGAATATACTGAAGCATCACTCCAATGGAACAATAATGAACAGGTAATATTTGTTCCCTTTTGTAGGCAAGATTCTGGTAGAAATTAGTCTCTACGTGGATTCGAATTTTATCAGTAAATATGTTAATAGCTTTTTTGATGTCTCTTCTGAAGTCATTTTTGAAAACTTTTTGCTTTTGTAAAAAGTCTAGTCACCCAATATGATTGCTTATGAGAGTTGTACAGATTTTCTGAAAATGATGGTATCTTTTATTAGTTATGCCATAAAATGAACGAAAAAAGTGGTTCATTGCTCACTGCATGTATAAGATATTCCTATAGATCTCACTGTATTCGACAATTGCTGGTGGTGGACGGTCGATGGAACTATCGGATCTTGTTATTTTCGATGGAAACTTATTATCAATAGATGATCGAACTGGAATTATTTATCGTATCGAAAAAGACATGGCTTATCCCTGGGTTTTCTTTTCATTCAATTTGATTTTGGATATGAAGTTTTTTCCAAATTTTTGAGTTTTTGAATAGCATTTTTGAAAATTCTACGCTTCTGCACCAATTTAAGATTTACCTCAGTGACGGTGCTGGAAATACAACGAAAGGTTTCAAGGGTGAATGGATGACAGTGAAGGATGGTAATCTTTACGTTGGTGGACTTGGGAAAGAATGGACAACAACAGAAGGTGTATTTGTCAACGAAAATCCAATGTGGATTAAGGTGCACATTTAGAGTTCATGATAAACAAATGTATAAATAGGTCAATTATTGTCAATCACTCATTTTACCGATTTGTACACTTTGCTGAGAATTGAAGATGTCGAGTTGTGATTGTAGCAAAAATTATTAGGATCTTCTTACGGTTTTTTCCTCGAAGTTGCCGACTGTTTTGTTGTAGTTAGTTAAGAATTTTTATATCATACCGAAGACGTATTACATGATTAGCGACAAAAAAATAAAAATGGTGAATAACTGGGATGATTGAATTTTGAATTTTATTGTAAGATAACGGAAGGCCACTTCATTTTTGTTTTGGGCTCATTAACTGTTGCATTAGTTACGTATCTGCAAGTAAGAGTCAAGTACGGATCTTTTTTTGATTTTTGTTGATGTACAGAAAGATTGTTCGATATAGAAAAAGGATTTATAATCGTTATGATGCCTACACTTTAGAGTTCATGATAAACAAATAAAATAAAATTTGTTGGAATTCATCTGTCATTTCCTATTCCAGCAGCATAGGTGAAAAGTTTTTTAGCCGCTTTTTAAAAAAGAATTTATATTCGATATTTTCAGCTTGTAACTCATGAGGGTAGAATTGAACATATCAATTGGATTAATGAATATAAAAAATTGCGTTCGGCAGTTGGAATTGAATGGCCCGGTTATATGATACACGAATCAGTTCAGTGGTCAGAAATCTACAGGAAGTGGTTCTTTTTGCCTAGAAGAGCTAGTAAGTTCGCATACACCGAAGCAGAGGATGAAGAAAGAGGTCAGTAGACATCAATTTTGTGTATCGGACTGTATGATTCAAAGCTCTATTTTTATAGTCTTGAGCAGCATTCTTCTACTCCATTTGAAGGTAGATAGTAAAATTAATATGTAAAGGTGAGTCGAACGCTGGCGATACTGCACAGTTGTGCATAGCTGGACTGCATTGCGATTAAGATACAAAAGTGTGCGTTAAACGTGCGTCGAAGAAATTTTGGGTCCTACTACCATTTCAATTAATCAGTAAAAAAGAGTTAAAATTGAAAATATTTTGGATTCTAGTGTTTAGTTGTTAATTAGTTGTATTTAATTGCCATATTTCGGAATTAAAAGCCGAAGTATGGCGATTAAATACGACTGATTAACTTATTATTGTACTTATATTTCTTATTTCAGGTACTAATTATTTGCTTATTGCCTCGGAGGATTTTTCTAGTATAAAATATAAACAGATTGGACCATTAAGCAGTACAAGAGGCTTCTCAGCTTTCCAGTTTGTTCCTGGTACTAATGATCGAGTAATTGTGGCATTAAAATCAGAGGAAAAAGATGGATTCCCAGTAGCTAGTTATATAACAGTATTCGATTATGAAATAGGTCATATTTTGCTCGAAGAAGTGCCACTCTCTGGCAAATTTAAATATGAAGGAATAGCATTTGTCTGAAATATCTATATAGGGATTATGGAAGCTCACCATTAAAAATTTGATTCCTAAGTGCCTTGAGTGGTAGACTTCTAAGCAGCAATATTGTTTTTTTATTTTTTGCAACATAAATATATCAATCACACGTTTTTTTTTGAAAATGTATAATTGATATATTTCATCTCTGAGATTGCATAATGAATTCTTGAAAGATTTTATAGGAAATATGGGCTACTTTTCTGAAGTCACAATGAACCTTTGCCGAAGTAATTTTTTAATTCAGAGTGATAAATAATAAATATTTTCGGGAAGACATAGACCAGATTTAATATGTATCAAAATTTTAGAATTAAATGAAGTCATGATTTTTTTGAGGACACGAGGAGTCAACGTGGCAAAAATCCTAACGATGTACTAATTTTAATAAGTGTGTCTCCCGATGGTGAAAAGCTGAACAGTTACGCAGAGAGATAATGACATTGAAATTATTATTAATCTATAAATATGGTGTCTGATGTGAATTCTTCCATAAAGCATAAGAAATAGAAATTCCTGCATCCTTGGTCGTGGCGGTTAGTCAAAGTATACAGTGTTTTTATTAATATTTTGTTTTTTGACTCCAACTCATCTTTTCCTCTCGGTGCGTGAATACCATGCACCATCGGGAGATTTTTTTTATTCAATTGATTATCTTTAAAATTTTTAACTTGTCGATACCTTCATTTTATGTCTTCTGAACATATTAATAACTGGTGTTGTAGTTAATCATTAACTTTATTCATATTCATACACTTTATATTTATCCTTTTTCATTATTAGATTTTCGACTTGTTCAACTTTCCGTAATTCCACGCAAACATCAGAGGTAAACGTTTCAATTTTCGGAGTTGACGAAACTTCAGATTTTTGTTGAAGAGCTGATTTATTTCTATAACTTTTTTGAAAGCTGTTTTTAGTACCACTGTATGTTGCGAAAGTATTGAGCAATCTGATGGATGTTTTTCCAAACGAAGTACATTTTATGTGTTTTTTGAGTTTATATTTATTTCTTGATGATGTTCTTCTGAAATTCTGTCTAGATGGAAATTTTTCCGTAGTTTCTAACAGCAAATTGGTTTTTGGTTTTTTAGGAAGAATTATTTCTTTATAGCTTTGTCAATAATGACTTTTTGTGGCCTTTGTTCAACCTTTCTTCGTATTTCGTATCTGGAACAAATAATTTTATAAGGATTGATTAGCTGTTCGAAACATCAGTAGGTCAGATATTTTTCGGGATCAATCTGCCCATCATCGTTATGCTATCCTTAAAAATGAATGGAAAATTACAAGTATGGTAGGTTCGGACATAGGAAATGAGTTCGAAACTATGGTGAATGATGTCTGTTTAGGTTCACTATCACAAATAGCACTTGGTATTTGTTCAAAATCTTCTATTTTTTAGGAGATATATACATTCTAATAACTGCAAAATGAGCATATATATATATATATATATATATATATGTTGTGTATGTATTAATGTGTGAGTGAGTGGAACTTAATTATTATTGCTTCAAGTTCTAAATTAGTGAAACGGGTTATCACAATTGTGTTGTTTTCAAGTATTGACATGATATTAACGCATTACGCGAGGCTTTTCACTTACACGACCAAGATATTCGTCTAATAATTTTTCGTCATTATTCGAAATACTATTTCAACTATTTTTCTAAAATGTTTTGTGAATTTTAATTATTCTTTTATTTATTAATAATATTAACAAATGGTGGCGATATTGGTAAGGGCGAAAGCAATTTAATATATATGAACAGTCTCTCAATTTTTTGTTATTTGTTTTGGATAGTTTTGTAGTTGATTTACCTACTGTTTATTTTTAATTCTATTTGGACCATCTAAAGTTAGCTTAATTGTTGTTAAATTTTAAGATTTAAAAAAAAATTAACTAATTCATTGTGGAAGATTCCTCATATTGATCTTGCTTGAATCTATTAAAGTTGTTGTTCCGATTGTTTAGAGTACAAACGGAGATTCTCCGGCTCAATTTTGTGATTTGGATATTATATTAATAGAAGTTTCGGAAGTAATGTTTTGGGTGATTGATTCGTTTGCCGATGAATGTTTGTCTATTACCCTATAAATTATTTTGCGTTGCTTATGATTTTACGGGTTTCGGTTATGTGTAACATATCGAAGAATAGTTCTTCAACTACAGAAATTATCATATTTCAGACAATCTATGAGTGTTTCATCGGATCTAGCACATGGAAGGTTGAATGAATCTCCGATAAATAGTAGCGGTTTTTCAGAGTTTGATCGACTAAGTAGTGTGAAAAGTCTGCTTGAAGAATTAGCGACTGATTATAATGATTACAAGGAGCCAGGTTCTCTTAATTTATCTGGTTCTTATTTATTCTTATTTATTGTGTAAGAAGATATGTACTACAGAACACATTAACATATATTGCTATGGGTTGCTTAGTTGAGGTTAGACAATATTTGCGTTTCGTTTATACAGCAGTGTATCTTGAAAGGCTTATAAAGAGGAAACAGGCTGAAATGTAAGTAGAATTTGTTTGAACTTTCATATCTTTCTTATGCAAGTTTGTTCCTATTTATGTATACAGTTTAACCTTCTTATGTATTTTGAAATTAGGGAACGGAATCTCAACATTTTCGTATGTTCGTCTTTTTTTTATTACTTAAAAAACATTCTTACTTTATCATTTTCTTTTGGAGGGAACAAAGGATATAATGTTGAAATAATGGGCAAGGACGAGATGCTTGGATATAATGGACAGGTGGATCATTATCATGTTCATGGAATGAATGATGGATTAATAAAGCACGGAAAAGGACATGATCATCAACATGATGAACATGAAGGGCATACTATGAAGATGTGGTTTCATTTCGGTTGTCATGAAATAATTTTATTTGAATTTTGGCAAATCGAATCTTTGTACGGTTAATTTTTTCAATGTCTCTGCTATAAATTTTCTGACGATCATACTGATCATAGAGGCGAAAATTCTCAAAATCCCAATGTCCATAATTCCCTTTGAATATTATGGTATTTTTCTTTATTACTATTATTAGCAATCAATTAGTTCATTTTTCTCATTTTCCGTAATTTGCTTTTATTCATCTTGATATATAAAGGCAAAATAACGGCAACTATTGGGTAACTTTCGCGGATAAAATAATATATCTTGTTCAAGTAATTGATGGTAATTGCAACTAATAACTTAGCTCTGATATTAATTGCAGGTCTCTTGCTTTCCTGTTTATTGATCTTCATAATGGCATGTTTTTACGAATGGATAAAATGGTTTCGTGTTTATCTGCAGCTTTCCGCTGCACGATGTCCAGCGAGTTGCCGTCATACCAATGATGAAGGGAAGGAAGATGAAGTAAAGCAAGATGATGATAAACGTATTGATTGCAGTCGCTCTTCTGTATCAGCTCCTTTGACTATTACTCTACAACCTAATTACCACCAGGTCTCAAGCAGGTTTGCTTAATCTTTTGATATTTCAAGGATAGTTTTGCTTTTCGCATTCGTAACTCTGTCAGTGGACCGATTGTCATTTGTGTTATTAAGAGGTACTGAAAGGGAAAGTACAAAGAATTAGTTTTTGTAAAAATTATTGCAAAGCTCTTAAACGTTTAGTTTTCCTGTTTCTTTTCATTTCATATAAGTATCGGAATTGCCAGGACTAATGGGCAATACACGTCGTTCTGATTCGATTTTGTCACAATACGTCCAGAAAGCATTTTGAGAATTCTACTGGTTTAGCATCTATCTTGTTTTATGTAAAATTAGAAATTATATTTTTTCCGATTTTTCAGGACAACAACAAGAGAGATTTCTCCTACAATCCGGTCCTTACAAGTAAGTACATGTATAATTAGCACTTTTATTAGTTCACCTCATTTACAGATAGAGTGAAACTATATGAAATGTGGTACATTAAAATAGCTTATCATTACAGGCAGTCCTTTATCTTGTACAGCTAACATTGGCGTATTGCTTGATGCTTATCGCGATGACGTATAATGTCTGGCTAACAATAGCGGTAATTGCGGGTGCAGCTTCCGGACATTGGTTATTTGCTATTTTAAAATGTTTTAATCCACGAACTGATGATTTGGATACATTTGCTACCGATGCGTGCCATTAAGAATAAGTTTCATCAATAGTAATACTTCGATGATGATCGGTTTGCGTTAACAGTGTTGCTGAAGTATTAACTTAATTTATTAACTCAATCTTCTGTTCCAAACTCAGAATAGTTTGATAAATTGTATCTGTTTTACTTTTCACTGATTGGAAAGCTCAGTTTTCTAAATTTCCTATTAGAGCGTGTTGTACAAAAAGCTTATTTTGATGGTTCTACTTACCTTTCTGTTAGTTAGTTTTGCATCCCGCACAATACAGCTGTAAAATAGTCCTAAGATGTGTTTCCAAATAAGATACTGTACTGCCATTATGATCAGAAGGACTGATTGGTTATTTATCCAACTTGTTTATAAGCTTAGTATGCCTCAATCTGAAAAATTGGTGATACCCAGCATTAACATATTGTTTTATTGTATTCATTGCCGGAAAAAATCTGCAATGAAACCATTACCTAGTTATTTCGTCGCTAAGATACCATTTATTAGTGTGATCTTATCCATTGATAACTGGACTTACCCAATCCATTCTAATATAAATCCAACAGATCATATATGAAGTTAATCATAATTACCGTTAGGTGAATAGATTATTACGTATCAGCAAGATACTTAGCATTGTTTTCGTCTTTCCTTTACTTCCGTATTTTTGCAATACATATGCATCACAACTCTTTATTATGTTTTTCATTATTCATCTCTTACACTATTTCTATCATTTTTATAGATCATTATCTATTAGAGCGCCGGTCTCGTGACCAACAGCGACTCATACTTTTCCATATATGGAATTCTTGAATTTTTCCATTTGACATTCTTACATCCTTCCTTTGTCTGACCGGATAATAAATGTTTTCCAATTCAGTCAAAATTCCGTCTTATAAACTCATAAGTTATTATTCATCTTGAAAATCTATCCCATATTTAAAAATCAGGAACACAAGAATGCTGATAATCAATAGCGTTACTAAGGACATAGCCATGGGTGTGGTTCCTTCAAATAAGGATGCAGGTATAACATAAGGTAACATAAGGTGCCAACTTTATCAACGATAATTGCAAAGGTACTGTTGCGATACTAAGATTTGTGAAGGATACTGACCATTTGATTAACATACTATATCGTGATAGAGCTGCATTTGCTGTTAGATGATTGGAAAATAATGTTAACAGAAATGTTGGTCGGCAATGTGGTTATTGATTGGAGACGTAAAAGACAAACTTGAGAAACATCCGACAGGAGTAGTTAAATATTTTAACCTATAAATTCTTTTAAAGTATAGAATTCAAGTATGAATGCAAACTCCTCAAATTTTATTTGCAGCAGTTGGTATTATAGTATAATAAATACAACATAAGTTGATAAAAATTAATTCAGTAAGTGACTCGACTTTATCAATGGATATCACAGTTGGTGTTTGTGCTTCCAAAAGACTTCGAATTCTCTACATGTGGTTTTTCAGAGAATCATTTCCACGACGTTTCCGCAAATATTGCTTAAAACATGATTTATTTTCCTAATGTTTTCCATATAAGTGTAATCCATAACACATAGGACACCTACTACTTTCTGTCACTGTTCGTTCATCTGAATGAGAGACATATAGACAACGGGTGTGTACTGAATGTCCACAACCATAAATAATGATGTCACCATTCGAATGTCTGCAATCAGTAGGCTTTTCACGTTGTAGCAGAGCTACCCTGAAATCGAACTGTTGAGAGGGAGAGGAAACGATTAAATTTACAATTTAAATTGTCTTAATTTCAAAATAGACTTGCTTCACCTGCATACAATGCAATATTGATCGAAACCGATGAAAATCGAACGTTTACGATTCGATAAATATTTCGCGAAAAGCTGATTACTATCGGCTTCTGTTACTTGCAAAGAGCCACACTGCATTTGAACAAGTAATTCGTAGTCACGTAAAATTTTCACCAATAAATTCCGTAAACCGGGAATGTTCATTTGCTCTGGAATCTAAAAACTTTGCAAGTTTGTAATAATTTCATATTCTAAGCATCTGCAGTAAACAGTTTTCCGGAAGGTGACGTATTGGAAAATGAGATTGCTTCTAAAAGACACCAATTTCATAAAAATCATACTCATCCTTTGTCAAAATAAGTCCTTTGGAGTTTTAGGATAAGTTAATAAAAGTTATCGGGTTTTGCATGGTCTTTTTTGTACAAGGGGTCAAAGCCATCTTTACTACTATGTACGTTCCTTAAAATTAACAAGGACTTAATTTTTAAAAAGCTAATAGTAACAGTAATACATGTATTTAACTAAAAAAAAGAGAAACCTTTTCAATAATGTTTAATGGATTGACGTATTTTCCAGCAGTATTCAAAAGCTGCGTGATATGATCCGGTCGTTTCACAGCCGCATCGACCAGTGAATTCCATAAATCAGAATCATCGTTTTCACGACAAAAGTCAATTGCGCTATCGATGTGACCAAGCTTATTTACGAGTAAGTCTAATGCTTTCACACGATTTCCACTTCTTCCCAGCAAATAAACCATCTGCAAATCATATCACTGAAGCTTTCAGCTCGACAATGATAATTTGTAGTCGTTTCACGCCACGATCTAATGCCAAAGAGGAGCTCTTACTGTTGCTCTAATGTTACTTCCATTACATCATTCATATTATTTCCTAGGATGATTAAAAACTTAAAAATTAGCACATGAATTAAAAATTATATCGTGCTGTAATTTGAACATCAAATCAACAAACTTCACTGATGTATTGCTTTTTTTCACAGATATCAATAGCTTTTGCTATATCGTAAATTGCTGTTTTTCGGAGAAATGGTAAAAGAAGTCGTGGTTCATTTTCAGCATACAGTCCTATAGCGAAATCGATAAATTCCTCTCCTTCATTCCTTTCAAACAGACTGTTCAAATAAGCCATCTGAAAAATATCATTTTTTAATGACAGTTAAATCTCTCCTTAGAAATTAAATGGAAAAATAAAAAAACAAATTAAACCTGTAATTTTGGATACATCGCAAGCTGCGTTAGAATTGTTTTTGTTGGAAGACTTCCGGCATTTTCAATCAGCAATCGTATTGTCAGATTCGTATCCATACCCATCAGTTTTGTCAAATCGTTCTTAACCTATGGCGTGGAATATAATTGATGCATTTATTTCTGCTCTAGCCCTTTACTCTCCATCTTGTATCTGTCAGATTCCTAACCACTGTCAGAACCAAAGTCTTCTTAATGGAATGAGACAAATGGCATAAATATTTTCTAACTATTCATTACTTTAATGCTGTATTTCAAGAAACATTAAATTTTCTTAATGAAATTGGAGACAAAGAAGATAAGTAAATCAAAATTTGATAAATTATAAAGATGGAGAACTTACCAAATCGAAGAGATGGTACTTTTCGATGACTTGAAAGACAGTTTTATCGTTTAACATGATGTAAAGCATCAAAGCTTTATCATATTTTCGTTCATAAAGATAAAGGCGAGCCAGGGATCGATAAATAGCTATCGCATCATTTTCTGATAGTGGATTCACATTTTCATGTACAATCCGTTTCATTGCCATATCCGTTATTGCACCTGAAGCGTTATAAATTTTAATTTGAAGCGGAAATTTTCTCTTTGCTCTTCATCCTTCATTCGAAAAACTTCACGTAAACCACGCATGATAGCATGAATAAATAGATTAGTGAGTAGTGAGTTAAAACATGAGTTAAAACAGTTAAAACACCATGAGTTAAAATACCGACCTACTCGGAATAAATCTGGATTCCAAACTTTGATCAAGTTATAAAATAAAACTGGATGGTTGTGTAATGCAGCAATCAGTACACATTGGTAACATTCCGGTTCCAGTTGGGGATCCCTTACCGGAAGATATTTTGCCAGTTGAAGGACCACATTATTCTGTTCAAATTCATTTACATAATATTCCCACAGATCTTTTTGACGTCCACAAACCTTAGATATAAAATGATTTCAAATAATATTTTTCGTGGAAATTAATGAAACTGACTATAATAGAAATTATAGGTAAGAGCATGTCCATACACAACCTTATACGAAGTGATGTCAAGTTACCAGAGACGATGTTGCTGTGTATTTAAATAAATGAAAAAAAAAGAAATGGAGTAGAGATCCAAAGAGTTACTTATACCATAAATATAAATATAGCTCTAATCGAAGATTCTCACAAACGTAACAAATTGATTCTATACACACCACTTTAAGATTTGACGCAGCTTCGGCGAAACGTTTCTGTTCAATAAGAGAGCTCAAATAACGTCTTCCAATATCAACAGGATCTAAATGCTCAAGATGAGCTTTGTGTTCGTTTGCATATTGCATCGCATCACGAAGTAAGTCATTCTCCAAATACCACCGTACTCGATCATCAGCCGAACATGGTTGCGCCTACAACATTTATTGTCACAGATTTAAGCAACCAATAGAAATAAAAGATCATCTGCAACCAGTATTTCTGTTATAGTTGCAAACTTATCTTTGTTAAGATATGTCTGAATGAAAGATTTGTATGCATTTATGAAGCTTCAATTCTTTTGTGATCCTCTTTTCACATATTGCTCCACCTTAACTACAAAATTGCCTTATGTTCTGAAGCACATACTATAGTGTAATGAAATCGCTGTAATGAAAAAATTGAAACCAGGAATGATAAAAGACCAGAAAAAATCTGCTGATCAAATGCATTTTGGGCAAAATCAATAATAATCATAAGGGAATTTATGACACATTAAAAAAAAAAGAAAAGCTGACCTCGATAAATTCCTGACATCCAAGCAAAAAGTACACATTTTCATGTGGAAGAGAAGACATATGAAATAAAGTAAGATTGCCTCGATCACAAGTATACATCTCGATTCTATCTTCGGTAGTCAAACTGAATGTACTTGAATCTTCTGGTTCCAATAATGCTAGCACCATCTCACATTCATTTTGTGCGGGCTTGAAAGTATTTCGTAAATAAATTTTAGTGGAAATATAAGTTTTAAGTAATTAAATACTTCTTCATTTAAAAGTAAAATTTTTTCTATGATATAGTAGCGGAGAGAAAGTAAAATAGTTATTCCTTTCTCTATCGTAATTATGGCTTTGCTTTAAAAAATGAGGTGGACAGATCACTTAAGGTTTATGACAACATCATCAATTAATGCCTAAGTAAATAAATTACTAACAATTCGTTTTAAATATTATAAAAGCAAATTAACAAACAAATTAAAAAGATGCACATTTTGAACGGTTGCCTTCTTCGTTCCAAAAACTGTTATTTCTTTCCAGAAACAGGATTTATCATCACTAAGCGTAAATGAAATATCAGCTATATACATATCGAATTTCCAAGCATAATGCACTTCCACTCGTTTTCTTTCGATCGATGAAACTACCTTAACAACAAATTTATGAAAGCAGGCATAATTTAAGCCTATTCAAAACTTGAAGAAGCTTATGAGGGATTACCTGTGAATCAGATGAATTGATAATTATGCATATGGAAATAGTATCGTACCATCCAATTGCTAGGGTTTCATTGTTGATCCAACAGTGGGACGGACGAGCTTTGATTGCAAGTGTTGCATGTTTTTCATGTGTAGATTGAACTAATGCAATTAACTGGTTTGCATTTCGGAAACAAAACAAAATATTAAGGTCAAAAAAGCACCTCAACTGCACTACCAAATGTAAGACAATATCATTAATGACATAGTTATGAAAGCATCATCAACAAATCGTAATCGAACAAAAGGTTAAAACGGCCTAATTCAAAACGATTTTTCTTGACCGAACAACTGCTATTAATGATTCAAATAGTCCGCTGATATCATGTACAGATAGAAAAATCCTATCCGCGGATTAAATAAAAAGATGTAAGAGTTGAAATTGCTCAATACTAACTTATCAAATATCCTAGTTCCTGTTTCATTCGTAAAAGCAATGCAACAATCTTGCCAAGAAATTTGTGTAATCATTCCATCACAATCCATACCTTCATATAATACCTAAATGGACAAAAAACTGATTCATTTTAGGATACATTTAACTGGGAATGTAACATGAAAAGGAGACATAGGATATAAGATTTTTCATAGGCATGCATTCATGAGCCTGTAGCAAAGAAACATTTTTTGTTTACATTACCAACTGTGTCGAATTCCGAAAGGTTGATAAAATTTTGGCAGAACTGAATAATATGACCAAAGCAAATATAACAAAGATGGCCACCTTTTCTTTGTAATTACCGAAAAACGTTCGCTGATGCAACAATAAATTCCTTTCTCCAGTTATAAACATATGGCCTGAACCACGTTTCGTGAAATCCGGGTCTATTGCTACCGATCGTGCAGCTAACTTTAAATCTATAACCTGCAACCGCGATGGTATGATATCGTAATTCAAATTTGAATCATGTTGCTGATATATCAGGAGTGATGGATTAAGAAACTAAAAACGCATCCCGAGATCGTGATCTGTCTTACGTTCAACATGATCTGTCTTAACGTGATCTGTTTTACGTTCTTGTAATCTGTCACTATTTTCAATGATTTCACACTGTTTTAATCAGCAGTAAGAAAAATTAAGAAATAGAATACTTCAAAAATAGTTCCCGTCAGCACTTATTTAAAGTCATTTTCGCTCTCAAAAAAGATTTCTCAAGAATAATATAATATCAAGATCAACGAAATTACATTGAAAAATTATTCATTCACAATTTGATCAAACTGCAACACAGGGTAGAATATGCATACGGTTTGAAAATAAGTGCACGGTCTAGCGTGTAGCCTTTTTATCTCTACTTCAGGGGTTTGAAACATTTTCAAATAAGTAATGCTCCTGTTCTACTTGTTCGAGCTGCTACACTTAAATAAATAATGTATCAACAGATTTCAAGTATTAGCATTGTAAGCAAAGAACCAGAAAAAAAAAACGTTTATCAAACAATACCTGAGCAAGCTCGAAGGAAGTAATCCCCGCAACACTGATTCGAGCATCCTGTGAACAACTGACGAAGTATGATCCTGTCGGATCAATCGATATTTTTGTAACGGGACATCGATGATGACGTGCTGTCTAAATTTACATAACTTGTAATTTATTGGTAAATTACTTTTTATAGTGGCTAATCCACAATGTAATTTCTTCATTTTAAAAAGTCAGGAATTGAATCCTTATCAACGGCTCTTATAAGTATTTGTAAAAAATAATAATTTCTTACATTTCGTTTAGCTTTTGCCCTGAAATATGCAAAGTTTGTTTTTAAACGAGCAAATTTCACAATGATTTTTTAAAATACAGAAAATTGTGATGCAACTTAAAGACGTTCAATGTATATTTGTCTGTGAAAAAACAAGCTTATCAAGAAATTTGCCAAGAACTAGCCAAGAAAGCTGTGAATTCTTGGTAAAAACTGAAATTTGAAAAGTGAAAAATTGAAAAATTCGTTTTTTGCAGACTGAAATTTAGTTCATACTATTTTTTCAATCACATAGTACATCCCCTTCTTTCACAAAACATGGAACAGAAGAATCAAAGCTAACATTTTCTGGATGTAAACTTCCGAAATGATCAATGATATACACGCTTCCGGAACGACTACCCACCGCTGCGAACTTATCATGTATTGCCATGCAAGTTGCCATATCTTTTCGCAACATCTAGTAACACAGCAATAAAAAAACTTTATCATCCGAATTTAAGCAGGATTTCTTAGAAGCTTTAATCCCAATTAATTTCAACTCTTAAAAATTTTTGCTTTGCTTGTTGGACATTTTTTCCGATTACCAGAAACGATCACTTCTTCAAATATGCTATATTCTAATTTCCTTAAAAACGGCAATTTGCGATACTTACTCCAGGTACATTATTCAAAATTCTGGAATATTTGAATCGTGGCTCTAACAAGGTTTCCTCGCTGTCAGATCCCGTCTCGTTCTTCCCCTCCTGCTCACCAGTTTGTGCGGTATCGGTGCTAATTTGCTCTTTTTGCATATGAATGATAATTGGTTACAAATTCCACCGATATAGCAACGACTGAAAATAAATTTGAAAAATGAAGTTTTTTCCGGGTAATAGCGTATCCATATCCCAAATTAAAATTTAATTCAGCAAACTGAACAGAATAAAATATGTAAACAAAATGTGATCCGTCATTTTCAATCCCGCATTAAATTTAAAAATAATTCTCAACTGCCTACACTATTTTATAAATCTTTGTTGCATTATAACTATGTTACTAAAACCTTAGAATCTGACTTCATATATTTAAAAAAAGGCCACAACCTTGAACGACAATGGTGCTGCTGACGTCGAAGCTATAACGTAAGTTTTACCATCTTAATAACGAAACATACATAAAATACGAGTACATATATACGTACATACATGCATACATATACATACACACACATATACATACGCATGACAAATATACGCTTATGCATGGTGGCAAATATACGACTGAGTATGAGGAAATGTTGAAAGGAGAGCAGTTTTAATGGAACTAATTAAAGCTGGAGTAAGTGTACTTAGCGATGAAGTAGTAAGAAAAAATGTGCTAAAATTAACATATACAACAAGGAAAATAACCACATATGCTCGAAAAGAGATATCACTGCGAAAAAAGCTTTCGTCCTAGCAAAAGAAAAGCTTTCGAAGGTTGGATGTCTTTAGAGTTAAAAAATCTATGAAAAGGTTAAGGTGGTGCGATGGTAATTTTGAAGAATTTGTTCTTACTGCAATCATCACTTGTTCATAACCGTAAAAATATTTCTAGTGCGTGATGAAAAAGAATAGATTTCAGCAATGAAAAATATATGGAATTTTTTCTTCAATTAAAGAGGCAGCAGTTCCGGGATATATTTTGAGTAATATGAAAGACCTACCTCCTAATCCTTCATAGGTTATGTATGATGATTGGCAATGTTTCTAATTTAACTGTAAGCAGGTACCTTGGAAAAGAGAAAGAAGCTGGTGAGTTAAAAAAAAATGAAAAGACAAGAAACGCAGACATCCTAATGCCAAAAGTAACATTTTTCAAAACATGATAAGGCAGAGAAAATTTTATATGATATTTTCTTTAAGAATCTTGTCATGATAATCTTTTCATAATCATTCGGAGACTATTGGTTTTCTTCTTTTTTCATTACATCCAAATAGAATTTCAGTATCATTAATAGTTCTATCTGAAAAATAATTGAAAAAAAGGAATAATCAAGTAAAATAAAAATACCTTATAACAAAATTTCAAATAACAAAACCAATATGGAGTAGTCAAGCAAAGTTTTATTAATATAAATCTTCGTTTTTTGATAAATATAATAGCAATGGCAAATAACTCGTGATACTACAGCTTTTAATGCAATGCTTCTTATTACAGCCAAAATAATCACATTAAAATTTTCTTTTTTTACTATTTGTTTCAGAAACTGTTATAGGAAACTTTAAAGAAGTAAAGTAAACAAATGTGATGTAAATGTAGGAAATATTTCAGTGAGCTAATTTAAATAAGTAAACATGAAAGAGGTTTTAAAAAAGTGTGGCGTTAAAAATGTGACATATCACTGCAATGAACGGACTTGCGATTAATATGGCTATGATTGATATATTACTGATAAATCGATATGAGTACCATGAATATTATGCTTCGACGCAGTTGCAGACTGAAAAAAAAAAAGTTTAAGTATTCAAATTGCACTTAAAGTGTATTCAAGTTGCACCTTAAAGTGAGAAAATCTCCTATAGTACTTCATTACTCACTTATTAACTATACTATGAAAATAATTTCTGAATGCTTTAAGCAAATGAAAAAGCCATTGGTACAAAAGGTAATCAATAGTCCGTCAAGATTACCGTCAGCATTTTTCAGGAAAATTATAAATGCTCTTTTTATCCTGTGTAACCGATATGCGCTATCGTAAAAATTAAAACGGATTTACAATTTTAGTTGCAAAACTTACAAAAATTAACTTCACGTAATGTCATTGCTATTCAAAGTCGCAGAAAGTTTTTTTCACTCTATTGTCTTCATCATTTTGTGGAGGAGCCAATGCCAATGTAGCAAAAGTAAGTGAATCAAACAATAATGTCGATTTCGTTGAAGCGATACTTGCCTGCCTGCAAATCATTTTCCATATAGCTTTGCGGCAAATAGCGTGAAGAAGTTCGCTTTCCCTTCCAATTAAAGATACGATTCTACACATAACGAAAAAAAGGAGTACCTACTGATAATGATGCAGATTTAGCACCTGTAAAGGTTTGAAGAACCCATTTTCGATGGTTTGCTCTCTTGATTAAACTCAGTGCTTCTCTTTGTACCTTTATGAGAACTTATATCTATCTTTCCAACACCCCTGTAACTAAATGATGGTCTCTGAAAGGCTGAATCCAAGGAAGTGTCATATCTGAAACATGAATAGTAAATAACTAATCATCACATTTTCCATCTTCTAATACTAAAATACAGTTGTTAAACATTTTCGCATTACGTACAACCCAAGTTATTCTGGAAAATAATTTTCCAAAATTTTACAATAGAGATATTCCATCTGACTTCCACAAAATTTCAATTCTTAATAAACAAAACGACATTCTTTCCGAATCAGTTACGCTCATGATATCAATTATGGACCTTTTTTTAAATTACCTTTCGCTAACAATATGAAGCAATAAATCTTGTAAATTCGATAAAGTTTTTCCCACTTTTTTCGTAGTTATACCAAATGACCACCGAAGCTGCGATATATTTTTATTTAATAGCAACATGCCTTCTTCAAATTTTTCGCGATTCCGTGCCATACCATATAGAGGATATCTAAATACATGAACATTTTTAATTAACTATGATGTAACCTCCGCTTTTTAAGCTTTATCAATCCAAAATATGCAAAAAAATACAGATAGATAGAAAAGTCCTGATTTTCAAAGCTGGAGAAAGTGACCTAAAAAGCTTCAAGATAAGAGTTAATGATCAATCGAAGAATTAATACAAACACTTACGTCTCCTCAAGTATTGGATCTTTTATTGTTGATTTTGAACCGAAGAAATACATGGTGTATTGATAAGGAAAATTATATATTCGAGAAAGTAAGGACAAGGCTTGAACAACATATCCCATAGCAGCACTTATTTCTACATCGGAATGTCCTGCAAATCGATGACTGTAATTCAATATTTCAGTAAATTTCCAACAACTAAATTGACTTATACCAAATTTTCCTTTACAAAATTATCAACGTACTTCTAACATGAAATCAAAAAATTAACCAGGAAAAGATGAAGAATCCGGAAGATGAAGACCAGTAATACAGGCTATCGAATGACAACTACATGATGAAGGCATCAAACGTGCTTTTTGTGATGTATTTAAGTTGATAACATAAATATGCATCAGATCGCCAACCATCTTCCTTCGACGCCATGCCAAATGTGAAGCGATCAAGAGCAAATTATCTCTAATAAACAACATTGAATGGTTTCGCAAAAACTTTGAAATATCAGATCTCAGTTATGGGTGATATAAGCGTTTTAATATCAATTAAATATTCTCTCCTGGCTATTAAATAAACAACCAATTTCTTTTACGCTAAACTTATTCAAGTTAATGAAACAGTTTATCTAGAGTCACATAGGCCTATTTCAAACTCCTCATTTAAAATTGGCTTCATTCATGAAAACAATTCATAAGAATCATACTCTGCCAAAGAAAGTGCAGCTTTCCGCTTTAACAAATTTTCTTGCATTTTTATAACTTCGTTTGATCGTTTACTAGTCATCATATCTGTAATAGCACATTACTTAAGACTTGTTGTAAAAATTCTGTCGATATCAATAATCAAAAGGTATTTGTGTTCAAACGGTTAACTATTATTAGAATCATTCAAAATTGATCCTCGCTTTATTAAAAATTATTAAAACTCAGAGCGAAGCTACGACAAGTTATTAATTAAAGTATATGAACTAGCGATTAAAAAACAAAGTTCGAAAAGCGGGATCCCGAATTTCCAATACATTCGTTCGTTATATTGAGTGGTTGTAATCATATCAATATGAAATTTATTAATTCTTTAGAGACGTTGTTTATCTTCCCATTACGATTATATGACTGCTTCAATTCAAAAATAATGCTAGTGTTAATAAGATGGACTAGGAGTGAAAAAGTTTAAAAAGCTGAAAATAAAGAGCACGCAATACGAATAATCTTATCAAAAATTAGATGCCTTTCTGAAACTTCTCGTCATTAAAATGAACCAATTTCATGCGACACGTCATTATACGACATTTCTGTCTTTCCACATAATCTCGTAACGCTTGCAGCTCAACTTGTTCGCACTGCACTCGCTCAGCCTTAAATAACTTTTTAAAGACATGCATTCTTGATAAAGCACTTGGCGTCTGACTTCGCCGAAATAAATTCTAACCAGCTCACGGCATTCCTTCTCATTTGCCAACAATACATCCAATTTCTCCCGTTGGAGCAAAGCTATTTCCTGCGTTTCTTGTAATGCACGACAAACATCACGCAACCTTCAAAATAGTATTTGTTATTTCAGAACCTTTATGTTCACTCCAGTCATCATAATAATCATTACGCATTGGAAGTATATATATTAGTTTAAAATTGAGCTCTTGTTAAACAAATGAACCAGTTCAATCCAATACCTTTTCCAACTACTGTACGTATAGGATGGAACAAGTTTGTCCTTTATAATACATGAAGTTGATGGTTCATTTTCGTTTCCTTCGGTAATCACTTCAACACTTTTGGATGGCCAATTCATTCCACTTCAATATCAACTTCAAAGGAAACTATCTGGAATCTTATTTTCCTCCTTTCCTTTAATTTAAGAAACACATCTATATCCATATCCCGAAATTTACAATTTAAATATATAGATATGGTGACGACGAAAGGTTGATTACAATAATAAATATAAACCAATCAAACTGAAGGACATTATCAAAAGATACTCTACACATTCTATCACATTTATCTTAATTAATGGAGAAAAAATCAACACTAATCATATGCTGCTGTTTTAAGCGTTTATCCACTAAATAATTAGATTACTGAAAACATATGCACTGGAATTAGGATCTCACATTTTAACGATTTTGAATACTTTTAAGAGCTATCATGGATTTCCAATTACAATTCGTGTACAAAGTTCACAAATTTCAATCCATTTACTCATTCAAAAAAGTCAAAACGACATCAAACACAAAAAAACCTGCACAAAAAAAAGAACGATAACAACTGAGAAAATTATCTCCACTGTAAATGATGAACAGATTGAAAACGGTATCAGCAGTCATAGAAGTGTTACATACAACTACAAAAACACTTCTAAATTACAGTTATACACTAGCAAAGAAATGCTTAACTTGTCATTATGTTCAATGGAAATACTAAAAGACACAGTAAATCAAATGAAAACAATACTTTAAAAGTTAATTGCGATCACTTAGTCCATGAAACTTTTGGTATATCATTGAACTCGGTTAGTTCACTCATCTGCTGATTAAACTTTTCAACTTTTTCACGATGACTTACAGCTGCTTTCTTCGCCAACCGTTCGAACTGTAAAAGTATAAACAGCATATTATCCAAAGCGTTTACAATTATTGCTTTTTATCAGGAAAATAATTACGAATAACTATGAAATGATTCATAAGCCGCAAAACTATGTTATAAAATGCCTTTGTAATGCACGCTCTATTAAGCAACATAACATCAAGCAACGTATGATATTTAAAAGTTTTAGATAAAAAGTGCAACCACTCCTAGTCTCATTACATCGCAGTATTATAACTGTATGAAGATAGAGCTCAGCTTAGCAAGTTGGAAAAAGCTGAATTATTATATATCAAGAAAACACTATTCTCGCCTGATTTTCCAACTGTCGCTTCTCAAATGCTATCTCTGCTGGTGTCTTATATGTAACTGCCGCATCGGCATCTTTGTGGATAGTTATGTCAATATTTTTTAAGTCAACACTTTCTTTCTTCTGAAAAATATGATAATTTGAAGCAGAATTATTATTTTCCTTTTTTCACCAAGTCTACAGAACAAAATACATAAATTCGGAAAGTAAACATACTTATCCTCTTTTACATTTCGTATTTTGGGAATGCTATTCCATCGAAAGGTTTCATTCCTTACTTCAACCATTTTGTTTCGGAAAGTATGATGCACAAAGCTTTACGAATAATATAAATGAACTAGATCCGGTAATCAAAACATAACAATTTCAAGATTAAAATATTAAAGGGCAGTTCATTACAACAAGCATTTTACAGAATTGTTTTGGGGTAAGATTTATCATGTATGTAACACTAGTTGATAAATCGATAAAGTGTTATCTTGTAAATGACACTGTTTAATAACTCCCGGCTTAATCTCCTGGCTGCTTCAACGTCATTTCACGAAAATCAATTTACAAATAAAACCACTTTGCGAGAGCAGATTCTGAGAAAGTACTTCTTTAAATGGATAATCTAATCCAGGGATGCTTCGAAAGGTGTTATTTCCATTTTATGGATTTTTAAACACAAAACTTACTTTTTTCTTGAATTTTGATTTACCCTTCTTCAATTTCAAGCCACCTCGGATAACTTCCTTATATGGATCACTATCGTTGCAGCTAATGTTGCGATTCATTTCCCGAAACACCTAAGAAAAACTAATGCTCCATTACAGAGGTTTAGGAGAATCTATTCATTGTGAGTGGATAAAATAGCTTGATAAATGCAGAATGTCGTAAATATCCAACACTGTTATACATCTAGTCGACATATCTTATGAGTTTCTCTAAATAGAGATTTCGAGACTTCCTAGACCCGGCAAATTGGTTACATGGAACTGACACGAAAACAAGACAGTAGCCGTACAACTTAAAAAACTATTAGCAACCTGAACACAAACCTGTCACATTTTGCTAAACCCGAAATGACGTGTCTATTAAGCGAAGAGGGTCTGCCTGGTCCTCTACGTGTGTCATGTTCATATGTTACATTATCTGAAGTTCCAAATTCTTTAGTTTTATCACATATTTATACGTTGGATGTTTGAGACCGACTTGTTTTGCTGGATATCTGAATCTGAAATTTCGGGGTTGTACTATTTTGGTTAGGTACGAGGGCAAAAATTGGAAACTAATCCAGTAATTTAGCAATGAACCAATAATTGAAGGTATAGTGTCGAAATGAAAGTGAGCTAAAAAGTTCGGTGTTATTTTATAAATAGGTACTTAATTCGGAAGTATACCAGTAGTATGTAATTAGCACGTTACATAATAGAATAGAATAGTAGTAGCAGTGGTATTTCCTTGGATCGATGTACCATTTTATTGCTAGTTGGGACTTTGTTAGTGTTATCGCTAGAAAATGACAAAATGTTCTTTTTTCTATAATTGTTTAATATTTAATTTTTTTTCTAATTTTTTTTCAAAAATTAAATATAAGATCTGTGATTCTGATATATAAGATCCGTAGCACAATTCGAAAATTTTAGCGCAGCCTTCCTCCTGAAAAAGTCTCTGTACTTACTTGAAATTCCCACGAAATCCATACAACTGTTTCAATTTTTTAATCCTTTGCAGATTTAACCGAAATTGGAAGCTCAATTATAGATCTTTCCAGATTACTTGGAATTTAACGAATCCGTGAAATAAACAAGGATTATTTTTAATGACACCGGAAATGGGACATTTCCAGGTCTTCAATACTTTGTTTTATCCTTAAGATCAGTATCTTCATATAAAAACTCAACTTGAAGAAATTGGATGAACTTTTCGAGTATTTATTATATGTTTATTCTGTTTGGTTAAACCAGAATTGTTTGACTGCTTCATATTTCGCAGTGACGGTGTAACTAAGATTAAATGCGGCAGGTGCTAATTTTTGAGAGAGCACGATGTCCTTAATTTTTCAGCTACTTGACTTATCCCGTGGTAGTTCTTATTTATCACAACGAAGAGATTTATAAACGCTGTGTAAAGCTGATGACATTGTGGTCATTGATATTGTGGAATGGATGGCATAAAATTCGGCTGAAAGAAGTTTCATCATAGCTGGTTATTCCCAAAAGTCAAACTACTTCTCTCTTTTTTAATGTCTCACAATTCATGGATAGAATCAGGACTTCGACATATCGGAATCTGTAAATTCTATCAGACAATCGAAAGGTATCGCAATAGAAAATCTTGTGGGAAAACGACAAGGGTCTTCGATTTCAACAAAAGAATTGGTTGTTTAAACTAATTCTTTTGTTTAAACTAATTTGTTTAATAAGATATATTTTATCATGGATTCTGATAGTGTGTAACCTTCATCCCATATCTCACTTTTTCTTAAGATGAACAAACTCGATAAAAGGTCGATCGCTACCAAGTGATCGCAGAAATCGCGTTTTGAACTGTGTTTACTCTGTAACAACAAGGAGCCGTCATCTCTGGATCTGATAAAAAAAATTATAAAAATTGGATTGCAGATCGCGATCGACGGCGATCACTGAAGTAGAAGGAAGAAGTTCCGAAGCACTCCCCGTAACCGAACCAAAAAAGGTTATAATCTGTTGAGTGATAGTCTGTTGCTGCTATAGCTTACATGAATTGGCCAAAGCATTGCATCTTAGCAAATCAAGAAATGACAAAACTGTACTGCTTTCAGCCGGAATTGGTCTGCTAAAGAATTTATACGTCGCCATGACGTATAACCGCTTCAAATTAAGCTACGAAGTTTCCTTCATTTGTCATATTACACATGCTTTTGCAGCAAAAACTGTAAGTGGAAGAGTTCGATGCTATACAGGCTTGGTAATTTAGGCCAGTTTAGGAAATTTGTCTAGTTATCTACTTGAATAAACTTGCCAGTTCTACTCCCACTTAGGTAGATATGGTGCGAGTGTATGGCACATATTTAGCAAGTGTTTTGTTTTTAAAGGAAGGGCTTCCAACCTTTCTTGATTTTGCTTTCCTGTGTATTTTATTTCAACTGTACTGTTTCGTAATGAATTTTTGGAAATTTCCGAATTTTATTGAGCCCTCATCAAGCTATGGACGTCAACAAATTATGTGAAGACCAATAACCATTTCAAAAATTGACAGTCATGTCAATTTCAATTTCAATGAAGCGACCAATATAATTAATAATTAACCAATTATTTTGTTGAATATTACTCATTCCGTATAATTCTACTCTGAAGAAAAGAATATAGTTTTCAAGAGACTTCTAATTCTACCAATCACAATTATCAAAAGTTTTAGTAAATAACGTTATTATCATCGATCCCGACACGCTATATTCCGATTGAGGAGTATTTGTAGTGATGGATAGCCAAGAATAAATGTTTGCAACATCCATTTCAGCGTATTATTTCGTGACATGTGCAGCAGACCGCACAATTTCAGAGAATAGAGAGATTCCCCACAATGCACTATCAGTGCGAACACATTGGTTGCTATGAAAATTGAGGGAAAACGTGCGCCTAGAAGTTCCAGAAATTTTCCTGGTATACCAAATTGACCAAACCAATGTGGATCATACCATGTCATCTAAAGACAATTACTTCAACGAGGTGATGATCTAAGACTCGGTGTAGATAGATATTCATATGAAAATTTAGTAAATAACTTCTGATGGATTATTCATAATACTTTGTTTTTGAAATAAAGAATTTTATAAAGGCAAATTCCAAAAGCTGATAGTTATTTGCACGTGGAATCAGCGAAACAACTCTTTCCAATTGGCGCTTTTTGATCATTTTCGAACTTTCCTCAATATTATTACTCTTTAAGTATTTAGCAGCTCTTGTTAATATCGATTTCTGAAGGTAAGAAAGGAAGAATTTACTCTATTTTTCGTCAGCAATCAGCTAGGCGTCAAAAAGGTAGTAATGGCAGAGTTCGGTCCCAAGATGTAAGATAATCGTTTAAAGTTGATAGGAGTTGACGCCTACGCCGAAAAGAATAAAACGAGATTCTCGTTAACAGTAATAAAAAGCTCATGAAAATGATCAAAAACTCACAAAATTGATCACTAGAGCAATTGGTACAAAGATCCACCAGGTTACGTGAGGTGACCCGAAGAAATCATCCATTGCTTGTTGAAATTTGAACTTCAAGAATTTTCTTTTCGAAGCTACTGCATGCTCAGATATTTTTAAAAAGAATTGTCTGTCGAGGCCACTGCATGCTCAGATATTTTTAAAAAGTCCCGGAAAGATCTATAAATGATTAGAGCCATTCATATCCAATAAGAAATGCTCAACCCTATTAAATGATCGGGTTATTATAGCAAGCTATCACGTGACAGAAAAGTTCATCAATGATTACAAAGCTAGGATGCAAGAAATATGTCAAGAATGACATCGCCTTCCTCTGTCTTCCTTTGCTAGATATTTACAATTTAGACGACCTACTGATTAGAATGCATTTGAAAAATGCATGCTTAGCCACTTTTCGCTTCTTACTCTTGCTTAGGCTTAGCGGATAAATTCCACGTGTACATGACGATGAGGGAAATTTCGAGAATTTCTTCCCAGTTCCACATTATGATTACCATGGTACGAATAACTAACGATAGGTTAGAAGTAGAAGGTCATCTGACCACAGCTAATAGCCCATTTGTTCAACAAATGCTGTAACTAATTTTTCACCGCAATGTTTTATATTAACAACAATAAGAAATGAGTGGCGCATGGACAAAAGCACCGCAGTATGCATTCGTTTTTTGAGGTTCTCAGAACATATATATTACTATAATAGAATGAAAATGGAATGGCGACTCAAAATTATGTTTTTCCAACAAATTTGGGAGCCCGAGTATCAGGAATAAACATACATAACAAACGGGGATAATCGATTAGATTATAAGAAATCCTTCCAGATCAAAGATCAATCGAGCCATTCTTTTAATCCACTTCTATTATTATTGTTATTAATTGCTCTGAAGTGAGAAAATTTAAATCTCTGTTCTAATTAACAAGTCTTCTTTCTAAATGAAATAGATTTAATACATTTAGAACAGTTTTTACCAAAAATTCAATTTCTAATTTAGTTTGTTTTTAATTTTTAATTTAGATCTAAATTGTTTCTCCAGGAATATTTTAATTTGCAAAAAGTAGAAAACAATTAGGAGCTAATGAATGGCCAGATAGAAATGTTCTTTCATCCAACGCAATCCTTTCTACTGCCGGGGAGGTATCGAAAACGACAAAGTTGCAGAAAAGAAACGAAACCAAAACAGAAAATTTGCATGAACCACTGAAATTTACAAGGAAATGAGAATTGCAATTGATCGCAAACATGCAATGCACAAATTGCCAGGACGAGATTCGATGAAGTGATGAAGAGTAATAATGATTGCAGCACGTTTTGTAAGGCACCTTGCATCATCAGATAACCGGTCTAAAATTAATGGTACAATAGAGTGAAAGGGAAAAGAACTAAAACTAGAAATTTTGCATGAGCCATTGGAATTATGTGGGGGAAACGAGAATTCTGATCTCTTATTTGTTTTATTGGTTGACCAAATTTAGTGATTAATTCATTTCTTCAAGTGGATCAGTTGAAAATGAAAATAAAAAATTATGCGTAAATTCCACTTTAACTACAACCATATCACATTTACACGAATTCACAACAAGGGTAACCCTGGAAAAAATTACCATTAATACGAGATAAGTGGTAAGCAACATATATTTCTTGCCAACGTCCAGCTCTTTAAAGTAATCCGTCTTCTTGGCAATTGTTATTTCCTTCTTTTCTATTTCTTCATCCTTCAGCAGCTCATAGCGACAATTTAAGTATTCTCGACAGGCATCTTCCACACGTTTTGATAGTAGGCTAGAAAAGGCATGACTTGATACGCTTCACTGCTGATTGCGATCAAAATGAAGACGTAATCCGCATATCTATTAAATATAAGTTTGCATAGTCTATGTAAAAATGAGTTTAGGTCATGACGGAACAAGGCTACCATTTATTCTAAAAATGATGAACTTATAATCGTTGCGATCAGACTAATTAGACAGTCGTTGTGAAACCGAAAGGTTATGTCTTCTCCTCCTTCCCTGCTTTTTTTGCGCAGTTACAACTACTGTTATTAAAATTTCATCGTGGTGTACTGATTCTATTTTGTCCAGGAAGATAGTTCATCGCTAACAATCCATTAGAATGACTGGTTGGTTTTATTTTATCTCTCGTTTTTTTCATTTTCTTTTTTTACCGTGGTTGGAGAGTGCTAAGGATATGTCGTCATTAAGTTTACTAAAATCTGCCTCTCACAAAACGACAACAATTTATTTGACTGTAAAACAAATTCGAACATTTACCCTTTCAACTGTGCAATGATACTAACATAATGTGGCACGAATGCGATGTTTTTCTCCATCAGAATGGCATCTGCAATTTCGCATGCACAACGATCAACGGACATGAATGGCAGCCATCTGCAACGTATCAGCACATTTGTCCTCTATTACTCCTCACTCCTTACATTATTTTCTGATCATACAACGATGGAGAGAAAGTACTTTAAAAGAAATTTACTAGAAAAATAAGGAGTAATTGGCAACGAAATTAGCGTAATAGTTGTCGCTCAACTATCAGCGAACAATTTGAATTAGATATTTTGGATGCGCAGAAGAATAAGCTTACATAGATGTGGGCCTCATTCGTAAATTTAGAATCATCGGTGTTCGTGTGAAATACGGACATACCGTTGTGCATCGTATACCGTTCAGGCCTTTGTCCTTCATTTCCATTTCCAAACATTGCATTACACCTCTTACCGCAAATTTCGTACTGCTGCAAACGGAATAAAGCGTAAAACAATATGAGGAATCTAATCCTAGTGACTGGAAATTTTTTCAGCAGTTAAAGTTGAAACGACCGTAACATTCAATGAGATTATTTTACTGTTGGCAAAATCCTTTCGGACAGACAACCAATGGTATGGATGAATGACCGTATTCTGAATTGTGATATGATGATGAATAACTATCACTTGATTAAAGTTCTACATGGTATCTAAAAATTGTAGTAAACTTCTTCGGAATATTATAATTCGTATATTCCACGCATATCTCAAACGCCTCAAAGTACACGATCACTAACCAATATGCAATACCGTTCGTTTCACCGCAAAAACCAGCAATTGACGAAATTGCAACTATTTGTCCCTCATTTCGTTGTTCCATCGAGCGAAGAAATGCACGAATTGTCTGCAAAGGCCCACTTAGTAGCAATAGGATCAATTATTAAATTTCATTTTCTTCATTCACTCATTTCCTGTTTCTTCCCTGTGTTTTCATCCTAATAACTTAAGGAGAGTAAGCAATTAGCATGTATTGAAAACTCAAATTTATATTCCCGATTCACTTTATTATATATTAGTATGTGTAGCTGACGTATCGTTAACAATATACAAGTCAGGCAAAAGTAGGTATATCCAGAACTGGAGTACATGATACCAAAATTGTTCAGGCACTCAATGAAACTGTTTTTTGCTGGTTGAGCAAGTCGTTTAATTTTTAATTTTAACTCATTTACTGTTTTGGCTACATTAATGGAACCTATATTCGTTATAACTTTTTTTTTTTTCAATTAATTATGTTGGATTGAAATGACTGTGGAGTTAAATAGCAACTTCAATTACTGTACCGCCCCACGTCAACAGTATTTTTGCTGAAACAAATAAATTTTTTACTGAGAAATTTTGAAGGAACGAAAAAGAAAAAAAAATTCCCGAATTCCAAAATCTATAAACAAACGTTGATCGTTCCTATTACATTGACATCGAGCGATTTTTGGAGTTGAGATGTCGTCAAATCCAGCATTCCTCCGATATACAAAATTGCTGCATTACAGATTATGATATCAACATTTCCTGAAATCCGCTTAAATCTTTTTGTTAAAATCGTTCAATCCACTATTCTTTTCATGCTTTATCTGTTGAATTCAGCTTCCTCTGACATCTGCGCGCCTTACCTTTCTTGCAATTATCAAATGTTCCAAATGTTCTTTGTCCGTGTGCGCAACGGCTCCATATTCCTCTGCTAAGAAAATAAAAATTAAAATAAAAGGTAAACTGAAACTCCCAATTAAGCAAAAGAAGCAACAAACAACGAAGAAATCAGAAACAATGATAACAAACGAAGTGTGATCATACCAAATGCGACATTAATTTGTCGTGCGCATTCGTTCACCTCCTCCATCTGGCTTATGTCACATTTCCAGCACTGTGCAATCCCACCACTTTCAACAATATTGTCCACTGTCTCCTGCGCACCATGCTACAATAAATGTACACACATTCGATTTAGATTTCCTGTTTGGTTTATTTCGCAAATTTCTTCAGTAATTTTAATTCAGTTAGGGAATTAATGAAGGTTGCAATAAATAAAAATTCATCGCAAATAGGAGGGAAAGTTTAAGGTGCGCACTGATAACATTTTTGTGTATAACAAACAATCTAACTGAATAGTGGGTGTTATTCAATACAATCCTTGTCTAGCTGATAACTGATGTAAAATTCTTCTGGTGATATCCGTCAAAACAAAAGGGATAGCTCAATTTTAACGTCAAAGAGGACAATATGTCTGGTATATAAATGGGCGCAAATTGAAAAGAAACAACCCTGCTAAGAATGTGTTTGATGTATGAAAATGCCAAGAACATTGGAGATGATAGTTTTTTCAGAGATGATAGATGATAGTTTTTTCCAAATCAATAAAAGATATGAAAGCAATGCGTGGCAATTTAAAAAAAAAACACATAGCATATTATGATACCTATTATTGGTACCACTGGTTTCTCTCAGAGTAATAATCAGTTTGGCCAAGTCACCATATCAGAACTTCTGCCAATTCATATCAGTAAGAAACTTCGTGAAAACGAACTTATTCGGATTCAAGTAATACATTTCCAGTTGCTACTTTAATTTGAGATACGTCATGAATGATGTACAATAAATTTCCACTACCAAGAAATTCTGTTCTTGTTCCTTTTTCAAGGGCCATGAAATGACGACTTACTTGGTTGATATCCAAAATAGCAACTTTAGCACCCAAACGTATGGCGAATAATTCAGCTAATCGTTTACCAATACCAGATGCACCACCCGTGATAACAATGGTACGTCCGTTTACGGACTTCAGGCTGGCCCGAATCCAGTACCAAAAATCCAAAGGACCAGCCACAAACAGCACATGAAGAAGCATTCCAATGCTACTGTAAAACCTCTCCTTGCGGGAAATTTTCGCCATTTTTTACAGTTTCAG